TTATCTATGTCTTTACCTTGGTTACTAATTAATTGATATACTTGGCAGCTCCCACATTAGGGAGATAAATATTCATGATTATTAGGTCTTCTTGTTGGATAGATCCTTTAAGTATGATATAGTGTCCCTCTTTATCTCCTCATACAGTCTTTGGGATAAACTTTAATTTATCCAATATGAAGATTGCTACCCAGCTTTCTTTTTGAGGACCATTTGAATGGTAAATGGTTCTCCACCTTTCATTTTCAGACTGGAGGTGTCTTTAGGTCTAAAATGAGTCTCTTGTAGACAGCAAATAGATGGGTCTTGCTTTTTTATCTAGTTTGAAACCCTGCGTCTTTGATGGGATCATTTAGCCCATTCATGTTCAGAGTAACTATTGGAAAATAGGCATTTAGTGTCATCATAATACCTATTCAGTCCCTGTTTTTATATATATATATATATAATATAATATATATATATATATATATATATATATATATTTATTTATTTATGAGAGACACACACACACAGAGGCAGAGACACAGGCAGAGGGAGAAGTAGGCTCCATGCAGGCAACCTGATGTGGGACTCGATCCTGGGACTCCAGAATCACGCCCTGGGCCAGAGGCAGGCGCTAAACCGCTGAGCCACCCAGGGATCCCCAGTCCCTGTTTTTGTGGCTTATTTCTTTGGGCTTCCTCTTTCTTTGCCCCCCTTAATATTTGTGTAGATCTGGTTTGGTGGTCACATGTTCTTCCTGTTTCTGCCTATATGGAAGCTCTTTATCTCTCCTTCCATTCTAAATGAGAGACTTGCTGGATAAAGTATTCTTGGTTGCATGTTCTTCTCATTTGGGACCCTGAATATATTTGCCAGCCCTTTTTGCCCTGGCAGGTCTCTGTGGAGAGGTCGGCTGTTAATCTCACATTTCTCCGTATAAGTTAGGAATCTCTTGTTTCTTGTTGCCCTAAGTTTTTTCTCTTTATCTTTGAAAGTTGCAAGTTTCACTGTTAAACATCAAGGTGTTTAATGGTTTTTATTGATTTTGGGGGGGGGGAACCTCTATCTCCTGGATCTGAATGCCTGTTTCCCTCCCCAAATTAGGGAAGTTCTCAGCTATGTTTTGTTCAAATACATTTTCTGGCCCTCTGCCCCATTCACACTTTCTGGAACCCCAATTATACATAGATTTTTTTTTCCTTCTGAGACTGTCATTTATTTCCCTTAACGTTTCCTCATGGTCTTTTAGTTGTTTTTCTCTTTTTTCCTCACCTTCCTTCCTTGCCATCAACTTGTCTTTTATGTCACTCACTCTTTCTCCATCTCATTAACCCTCCTCGTTAGGACCTCCAGTTTGGATTTCATCTCATTTAATTGATTTTTAATTTTGGCCAGATTAGATCTAAATTCTGCAGTTGAAGTCCCTTGAATCCTTTATGCTTTTTTCCAGAGCCACCAGTAGCTTTACAATTGTGCTTCTGAATTGTCTTTCTGACATTGTTTTTTTTTCTCTCTCTCTTTTTTTTTTAGTAATAAATTTAGTTTTTATTGGTGCTCAATTTGCCAACATACAGAATAACAGCCAGTGCTCATCACGTCAAGTGCCCACCTTAGTGCCGCCACCAAGTCACCCCCAACCCCTGCCCACCTCCCCTTCCACCACCCCTAGTTCATTTCTCAGAGTTAGGAGTCTTCCATGTTCTGTCTCCCTTTCTGATATTTCCCACTTACTTTTCCTCCTTTCCCCATTATTCCCTTTCACTATTATTTATATTCCCCAAATGAATGAGACCATATAATGTTTGTCCTTCTCCGATTGACTTACTTCACTCAGCATAATACCCTCCAGTTCCATCCACATCGAAGCAAGTGGTGGGTATTTGTCGTTTCTAATGGATGAGTAATATTACATCGTATACATAAACCACATCTTTATCCATTCATCTTTCGAAGGACACCGAGGCTCCTTCCACAATTTGGCTATTGTGGACATTGCTGCTAGAAACATCGGGGTGCAGGTGTCCCGGCGTTTCATTGCATCTGTATCTTTGGGGTAAATCCCTAGCAGTGCAATTGTTGGGTCGTAGGGCAGATCTATTTTTAACTCCTTGAGGAACCTCCACACAGTTTTCCAGAGTGGCTGCACCAGTTCACATTCCCACCAACCGTGTAAGAGGGTTCCCTTTTCTCCGCATCCTCTCCAACATTTGTGGTTTCCTGCCTTGTTAATTTTCCCGATTCTCACTGGTGTGAGGTGGTATCTCATTGTGGTTTTGATTTGTATTTCCCTGATGGCAAGTGATGCGGAGCATTTTCTCATGTGCATGTTGGCCATGTCTATGTCTTCCTCTGTGAGATTTCTGTTCATGTCTTTTGCCCATTTCAGGATTGGATTGTTTGTTTCTTTGGTGTTGAGTTTAATAAGTTCTTTATAGATCTTGAAACTAGCCCTTTATCTGATATGTTATTTGCAAATATCTTCTCCCATTCTGTAGGTTGTCTTTTAGTTTTGTTGACTGTATCCTTGGCTGTGCAAAAGCTTTTTATCTTGATGAAGTCCCAGTAGTTCTTTTTTGCTTTTGTTTCTTTTGCCTTCGTGGATGTATCTTGGAAGAAGTTACTGTGGCTGAGTTCAAAAAGGGTGTTGCCTGTGTTCTCTAGGATTTTGATGGAATCTTGTCTCACATTTAGATCTTTCATCCATTTTGAGTTTATCTTTGTGTCTGGTGCAAGAGAGTGGTCTAGTTTCATTCTTCTGCATGTGGATGTCCAATTTTCCCAGAACCATTTATTGAAGAGACTGTCTTCTTCCAATGGATCGTCTTTCCTCCTTTATCGAATATTAGTTGACCATAAAGTTCAGGGTCCACTTCTGGGTTCTCTATTCTGTTCCATTAATCTATTTGTCTGTTTTTGTGCCAGGATCACACTGTCTTGATGACCACAGCTTTGTAGTACAACCTGAAATCTGGCATTGTGATGCCCCCAGCTATGGTTTCCTTTTTTAAAATCCTCTGGCTATTCGGAGTCTTTTCTGATTCCACACGAATCTTAATTTATTCTAACTCTTTGAAGAAAGTCCATGGTATTTTGATAGGGATTGCATTAAACGTGTAAATTGCCCTGGGTAGCATTGACATTTTCTCAATATTAATTCTTCCAATCCGTGAGCATGGAATATTTTTCTATTCCTTTGTGTTTTCCTCAATTTCTTTCGGAAGTGTTCTATAGTTTTTAGGGTATAGATCCTTTACCTCTTTGGTTACGTTTATTCCTAGGTATCTTATGCTTTGGAGTGCTATTGTAAGGGGATTGACTCCTTAATTTCTCTTTCTTCAGTCTCATTGTTAGTGTATAGAAATGCCACTGACTTCTGGGCATTGATTTTGTATCCTGCCACACTGCCAAATTGCTGTATGAGTTATAGCAATCTTGGGGTGGAGTCTTTGAGTTTTCTATGTAGAGTATCATGTGATCATCGAAGAGGGAGAGTTTGACTTCTTCTTTGCTAATTTGAATGCCTTTGATTTCTTTTTGTTGCCTGATTGCTGAGGCTAGAACTTCTAGTACTGTGTTGAATAGCAGTGGGGAGAGTGGACATCCCTGTCTTCTGACATTGAATTGTAATCCAAATTCTAACTCTGTGGTAGATAGTGCTGTTTCTGATTCTTTTTTGGTGAATTCTTCCTTCTTGTCATTTTGCTCAGTGCAGAGTGGCTGTGAGTGGCCTTGGTCATGAATATTAGCCACGACCTAAGTAAATTTCACCTAGATGATTCTTGTTAGAAGGAGAAACCTTTCTCTCTGTAGCATTCTGGCTCTTCTCTGTTTAAATCCCAGGTTCAATTTGTAGGTGTTCAGTATGTTTTGAAAGTTTTCCAGGTAAGTTGGTGCAACCAGGTGAGTTGAGGATCCCTACTCTTCCACCATCGTGCTCTCCCCCTTGCATTTGTAATTTTGCAAGCTTTCATTACATCCCTTTTTGGGGGGTTGATATTATTTGATCCCTCGGCAGTAAATGAGTGTCTATTTTGTCACTGTTTTACCAGTAGAGTATGGTGTCAAACACTTGGATTTTTTCCCATTTTTTATAGGTGGGAAAGAATTTTGAAGCGTTGTTTTAATTTGTATTTCTTTTATTATAAGTGAAGTAGAACATATAGTTAAAGCTCATTTGCATTTATTTTCAGTAAACTACTGTCTCATTTTTTATAATTAGATTTTGTTCTTTTTCTTTTCTCCTCTTTAGTTTTCTCTGTAAGTGTTTTAGGGCTGTGTTTCTACTGTGCTGTCAGAGAGCTCCTCAAAATAATTTAAATCAAAGGCGGTGCCCAAGTAAATATTACAGAAGCTCATATACCATCTAGTAATGTCCTGAGTCTTAAAATCTTCTGACTGAATTATCTTCTAAATTGAACATTTTGGCCCTGGTTCATCCTTCTAAGAATCGGGATTTTAGATCTGGAAAAGGATTTTAATGATCATTTAGTCCTAAGCTCGTATTTTTGTAGGTGAAGAAACAAACTCTGTATTCTTGGTTTATAGACTTACAGAGAAAATCTTATAGATGATCATACTATATCTTATATTCCAAATGAGAATATAAAGGGCCAGGTGAATATATCTCTGTAGGAAATAGGAATGGCTGCTTGTTTTTAGGAAGAGACTAGATTTTTTATAACTCATGAGTTTCAAATTCTGAATCTGTGATCATCTTTAGGCCCGAGACTCTCCCAAAGCCTGCCAGCTGTTTTCTAAAAATGGTCAGATTTAAAAGTAATGAACACAATTCTCCTTAATGCCTAAATTGCTCATGAAGATTTCTGGGGATGAGTACAATAATATGGTTCATGTACAAATGCTACTAGTATTTCATGGTTTTTATATGATCTTTAATGTTACTTTTAAAATTTGTAGTCATTGGTGTTTATTTTGCTTGTTATGTGGGTAGGCACTCATAAAATATTTGTTCAAAGCAGGCATGTTCATATAATTCTCTTTTTTTTTTTTCTTAGGAGTTCTTGTGTCACACAATTAGCCCTTTTGGAAAGTGTGTACAGAATGTTCAAGAGGGATGACCTACTTTCAAATGTCACTCGCCAAGCATTTGTAGATCGCTCTCTTCTCACTCTGTTGTGGCATTGTGGCCTGAATGCTTTGAGAGAATTCTTTGGCAAAATTGTGGTGGAAACCATTGATGTGTTGAAGTCTAGATTTACAAAGGTATTTGTACATCTGTTATTAAATTTAATGGTAATGAGAATTGACCAATCTCCTTGATCAATGACCTTAAAAACTTCAATGTGTGGTTGGAACTAGAGGGTATTATGCGAAGTGAAATAAGTTGATCAGAGAAAGACAATTATATGATCTTACTCATATGTGGAATTTAAGAAACAAAACAGAGGATCATAGAGCAAGAGAGGAAAAAATAAAATAAGATGAAATCAGAGAGAGAGACAAACAGTAAAAGACTCTGAATCATAGGAAGCAACTGAGGGTCGCTGGAGGGGAGGAAGTGGGGTAATGGGGTAACTGGGTGATGTAATGAGCACTGGATATTACATAAGACTGATGAATCACTTTCCTCTACCTCTGAAACCAAGAATACATTATATGTTAATTAATTGAATTTAAATAAAATTAAAAAAACTGCAATGGATCATTGTTGCTCAAGGAGTATTACCTCAACAGTTTGATAACAATGTGTAGTTACATGGAGTCTCCATTAGTTTCCTGAGGGTGTTTTAACAAATTACCACCAACGTGGCTTAGAACATCAGAGATTTATTCTTTCTTAGTTCTGTAAGCCAGAAATCAGAAATCAGTTTCCTTGGGCTTTTGTCAAGGTGTTGCAAGGCTATAGAGGCCCTAGGGGTAAAGCCTTTCTTTGCCTCTTCCAGCTTTTGTGGCAGCCTGTATTCCTTGGCTTGTGGCTAAATCACTCCTCTCTTTGCTTCTGTGGTCACATTGCCTCCTCTTCTTTTGTCTAATCCCTCTTTGCCTCTCTCTTATAAATATATGATTGCATTAGGACCCACGTTAATCATCTGCTAATTCCAGATCCTTTACTTGATTTTATCTTTATAATCCTTTTTTATCATCGAAGGTAACATTCAGGATTCCAGTGATTGGACCGTGAGTATTTGTAAGGGGATGTTATTCAGCTGAATATAGTCTCCCTGCATCAAATGTTCTCACTCGCAAAATACATTTTTCACATCCTAACATCTCCCAGAGTCTAAACACATCACGTCATCAACCTTTAAGTCAAAATTCAATCTGAGTATCATCAGCTCAGAGTCTTAGCTTTCATCATTCAAACTGTAATGAATCACGTATGGGTAAGATTCTGGGTATGATCCATCTTTGGGCAAATTTCTTTCCATTTGTGGACCTGTGAAACTAGAAAACAAATAATTTGTTTCCAAAAGACAGTGGTTCAACAGGCATAGGATGACAATTATAGTCATTCCTATTTTAAAAAAGAGAAAATGAGGTAAGGAAGAAATCAGTGTTCCATAGGTCCAGGCAGGCAAATTCTGCCTGGATAATATAATGCTTTGTGGCTTGGTGTTCTGCCCTCTAGACCAAGACTCCATTCTTAGAGTCATTCTTTTTTCTTGAAGGATGGCATATATTTGCAGCTGAGTAGTTTTTATCAATCTGTTTCTTGCCTGTGGAATTCAGGGAGTACAACAGCTTTGGTCCTCCCCCCCCCCATTTAATTTTGTCTCTATCTGCTTCAGTCTAAGCTGGTGGTGTTTCCTCGGGTATGACATTCTCAACAACTCCATAGCTCTCCTGTGTGTGTCTTGGGGGTTTACTCCATTAGATGAGAGTCCTTCACAGGTCTTTGATGGATAATTACATCTCTGTTCTTGGTTCTATTGAAATGGATGAGGACATCCAGGAGTCCCATGCTAATTTCTTCAGTACTGGCTCAAGAATGTCCAGCCACACCCTTGTTCTTCTCTCCAGAGCCACTTTTCTAACAGTGAATTTCCTAATGTTAGCATCTTTCACAATCTGGGTAAGATGAGAATTTCTCAAATCAAGTTTTGGTTCTTATTGCTTAGTTTTTCTGTTTTTTTTTTTTGTTTTTTTTTTTTTTTTAAGATTTTATTCATTTATTTATGAGAAACAGAGACACAGGCAGAGGGAGAAGCAGGCTCCACACAGGGAGCCTGACGTGGGACTCCATCCTAGGTCTCCAGGATCAGGCCCTGGGCTGAAGGCGGCACTAAACCTCTGAGCCACCTGGGCTGCCCTCCCTGCTTAGTAGTTTTTAATTCAATTTGTCTCTTGCACCTCACATGTATTATAAGCAGCAAAGAAGAAAGCAGCCAGCACCTTCAACAAATTTGCTTGGAAATTTTTTCAGCTAAATATTCAAGTGCATGGCTTACAAATTCTGCTGTGTATATAACTGTAGAACACTTTCTCAGCCAAGTTTTCTTGCCACTGTATAACAAGGATCCTCTTTCCTCCAGTTTCCAAAAGTATGTTCCTCATTTCCTTTTTAGACCTCACTAGCAACTACTTTAATGTCCATATTTCTACCACAAGTGTGTTTATGATGATTGAGAAGTTCTGTAAGACAATTTTAGCTTTTTCTGTCAAGCTTTTTACTTCCTTCTGAGCTCTCACCAGCAATGCCTTCAGTGTTGATATTTCTGCCCAGCAGTCTCTATAGGCAGTTGGCTTTTTCCGTCATGCATGGCAAATTTCTCTCAGCCTTTTACCCATCATCCATTTGTTAGAGCAGGTCCAACTCTTGATACCAAAATATGTATTAGTTTTCTAAATTTTCAGTAACAAATTACTGTCAGCTTGGTGGCTCAAAACAACAGAATTTTATTCTCTCCCAGTTTTGGAGGCCAGAAGTCTAATTAGTTTCACTGAGCTGAATTTGTCATGTTGTCATGGCCACAGTTGCCCCAGCAGCCCTGAGTATCTACTCCTTGCCTCTTCCAGCTTCTGGTAGCTGCTGGCATTCCTCCATATGTGGCTGCATCATTCTGGCCCCTAATTCCGTCATCACATTGCCTTTTCCTGTATGTCTCATTTCTCTCTCTTTCCTCTTGTAAGGTTACATATGGTTTCATCTATGGCTGAATGAAAACCCAGAATTGTCTCCCTATCTTAAGATCCTTAACTTAATCACATTCACAAAGTCCTTTTTTGCCTTATGAGAGTGTATTCACAGGTTCCAGGGATTAGGATGTGGATATCTTTAGAAAATTCTGTAAGTACTTGAAAATTTTGTTTTTTATTACTTTGAAGTTTCACGTGCTATTGGTCATGTCTTTGATAAGATTTTGTGCAAAAGCCCTATATTCACATTCTAAGGTCACTATTTGGATGTTGTGCGTTACTTCCTGCTACACTCAGTATAACACATCAGTATTTAGATCTATGTTTCTGACCTTGGGTGCTCTCCTATTGAAGTGATTCAAGAGCTATGTTAAAATTATTTTCTATGTAAAAAGCATTGAATATTAAATATATGTATTTGAGTATTTGATATATTCAATAAATAATTTTTCATGTTTGATTAGACCAAAGATAATCATTTGTTACCTTTCCTTAGCTAAATGAATCTACCTTTGATACTCAAATCACCAAGAAGATGGGGTTTTATAAGATGCTAGATGTGATGTATTCTCGTCTTTCAAAAGATGACGTTCACTCAAAGGAATCTAAAATTAATCAAGTTTTCCACGGCTCATGTGTTACAGAAGGAAATGAACTTACAAAGACACTTATTAAGTAAGGTTTTAGTCAACTTCTGGTTTGTTTGATTGGTTAATATTTTTGATGCATGTATCATTATGCTTGTATATAATGTGGATAAATGTTGAAATATGAGTTTTTATAATTTTCTTGTTTTTTTCTTATGTACAAACTACTTAGACTTCAATTTAACAGGTTATTGGGTTGCATGTTTTATCCGATACTCATCTTTTATAAGGAATAAAACTTTAATTGTTTTTTTCTTACCATTCCCCCACTCCTTAATAGCTTGATATATTTTTAGTGGTGTGATTTACAATATAAAGGGATTTATATATTTTCCTGACCGCCATTTGAAATTAAAGGAATAGGTTGTGTGCTGATAAAACTGTTTTCAACAGTAGTTGGTCACCTGGGCAGTTTGGAGACCTCATCCTGCAGAATGAAGTCCGAGCTCCTTAGCATGGCAGGGGAGCTCTTTTAAGAATGCACCCCCTCTACACCTTTTGCTCACTGCCAGCCACTGCTGCTTCCCACCACATCTTCTGAACACATCATGTGGCTTATCCCTCACTATAAGTAACACTCTTCTCTCTGTTCATAATCCTTACATACATTTCCCCTTTGACTTAGAATTCAAAATACGGTTCGGAGTTTTTCTTTAAACCATTGCTGGCTCCTGTGCCTGGCTTACTGTCGATCCTCCTTGCTTCCATCTCTTAATTTACTGGGCTGGTTGCTGTTGCTGTTTGTACCACAGTGTGGTGAAATCCCTTTACCTTGAGATGTGCGTGGGTTCCGTGACTTAAGTTGTCTTTTTTTTTCTTTTAAGTTGCCTTTTATTTCCAGTACCTAGTATTATGCCAGACACAAACGTGACACTCAGAGAAGGCTAAACTGAATTCAGATTCTGTTGTCTGGCATTGTTGGGCTTATGCTTCAATTTCCCTGTTATATGAATTAATTTTTAACCTGCATCTATTCTACAGATTGTGCTATGATGCGTTTACAGAGAACATGGCGGGTGAAAATCAGTTGCTGGAGAGGAGAAGACTTTACCATTGTGCTGCATACAACTGTGCCATTTCTGTTATCTGCTGTGTCTTCACTGAATTAAAATTTTACCAAGGTTTTCTGTTTAGTGAAAAACCTGAAAAGGTAGACTTTTCATAAAACTTCCAGTTGCCATCAGTAATGGCAACTGTAATTTAATTATCTAAATTAAAATTATATCATAATTTGCACATCCTCAGAATATTGAGGATGTAGTTCTTGTAGTTCTGCATATATAAAGCTAAAGTGCTTCACCACGAGTTATTAAGTATAGTAGCATCAGCAATAAGGATCTCCACTATTCAGATATTTTTTCTATGACTCTTTGGATTTACAGAACTTGCTTATTTTGGAAAATCTGATTGACCTGAAACACTGCTATACTTTTCCTATAGAAGTTGAGGTGAGTGAAATTTTTTATTGGTGTTCCTGAGTTTGAAAAATTTATCAGATGCTTATAGAAAAAACATGTTATGTTAAACATGTAAAATTCCCAGTATTCAATTTGAACTGTAATATCTGGTACAATTGCAGGCAACTGTAGAAAAATGATCATAACTTGATTTTTCCCTCTCTTAAGTAGTGAAAGATAGAAAATGACAATAAAAAATGCTGTTAGGACATATCCCAGAAGATGTTTGCTGAGTAAATTCCTCTGGTCAGTGAAATTGAGATCTGTCCAGATATAGCATTATAATGCTGTGACCCTGCTTGGGTAATTTTGCAGGATAATGGGAGTTCTCTGAGCAGAAGTCATGGTAATAGTTGGGAAACTTGCTGTGGCAAATGTGACAAGCTTAATTTTAGCCAAGCTAAGTTTGACATGCCAGCCTCAGCAATTGGTGGGAGGTTGTAGGTGCACCCTTTCACAGCCCACTGGAGATGGGAATTGGGTAGAGTCCCAGGGCTTGTACAGCATGGTATAGGTCAGGAGCTGTCACTCATATTAGCGTGCGTGGCTGCTGACCTTTTCAGGTCTCGGGTTCATGAGTTCACGTAAGTGGTTGCTACCTGCCTTGTTCCCTTTTGGGACAAGACTAGGAACTTTTTTCAAGGTGTATGTTCAAAGAACTAAAAATAAAAAAAATATAATATCATTCAGACAGTTGCTGTATGTTACTTCTAAACTTTACAATAGCATTGTAAGGTGCTGTGTTATACCATAACTGTATAGTTCAGGAAACTGAGGCTTATAGGTCAGGTATAGACTATTGATAATCTGGGCATGTGGCTGCCAGAGCTTTACCCACATTAGGTGCCAGAGCCCAGAGGGGAAACATGTGCCTCAGTGGGGTTCTATGGGAAAAGCATTTCTTAAGGGCACTCACCTGTCTTTGTGGATATATTTAGTGATTTTATATTTGATAAAAGTCTTGTTCAAAATTTAGTTTTTTTGGTCGAATTGCTATTAAAATAGAAAATGTGTGATCATGATTCTAAAAAGTTTTAAATTGTATATTTGTTTTGCTTAATAGGTTCCTATGGAAAGAAAGAAAAAGTACATTGAAATTAGGAAAGAAGCCAGGGAAGCGGCAAATGGGGATTCAGGTGGGATATTTTCAAAATGATAAGATTCTAATTTGTTATGTGAATAAAAATTTTTTTAAATAGCCAAAAAACATTGAAATGGAATTCAAAAAGCTTTAAGTGGCAAATAGAATTCTATTTTGAAAGAAATGCAGTTAGCTAAACTTTAGCTTCATAGAAGGACCTCAGAATGGGCAAAGAGGACTAAGAAGAAATGGTATGCTTTTTCTATAAGTGCAAGATTGGTTGATAGCTATTTTTTGCTTATGGATTATGTCGTTTGCTTAAATGCATTCAGAAATCAGTGTTGAAATAAAAGACCCATGCTGCCACTCATCTCTTTCAGACCTCCCATCAATTCCCACGTCCCTGAGAACAGAGCTGCCTAAGGCCCCTTGCCCTGCCTGGCTCCTCCCTGCAACTCTGCCCCAACGGCACTGTCCCCTGGCTGTGCTTGTAGGCACAGGGCTCATTTGGCTTCTGGGCATTTTTACGTGATGTCTCCTCCGCCTAGAATAATCTTGGTCCCAGATATCAACTTTTGTTTAATGCCAACCTTTGAAGGAAGTTCTCCCTGGCTTCCCTATTCAAAATTAACCCTCTCCTGCTCCCCATGCTCTTTTAGGTTTTTGGTTAATTTTTCTTCATAGCTTTTTGGTTTTTTTTTGAGGATAAAATTGGGACCAGTCTTATGTGTAGATTACTTGTTTTTCAGTAGTATCTTTCCCCATGTTTCTGTTAGACTTTTTGTTTTTTATTTTTCTTAAGGTTTTTATTTATTTATTTGACACAACAAGAGAACATAAGCAGGGGGAGCAGCAGAGGAGAGGGAGAAGCAAGCAGACTCCCCACTGAGCAGGGAGCCCAGTGCAGAGCTCCATCCCAGGATTGTGGGATCATGACCTGAGCTGAAGGGAGACGCTGAACTGACTGAGCCACCCAGGCGCCCCTAGACTTTATATGCAAAATATACCCCATCCAAAATTTAATGCAAGAAAATTTTGTTAATATATCCAAAAATAATATATAGTTTACCTTAATGTCTCTATCCATGACAGTAGAAAATAACTGCTCAATAATGACAAAAACAAAAGGAGATCTTTCCCCATTTCTTTTGCTTTGTTAATCTAGATAGTCTGTTGAGAATCACAGGATTGATGAAAACCTTAGTTAACACTTTTAATTTTATTAAAAAAAAACACTTAATTTTAATATCGTTTGAGCTTAGAGAAATACGTTTTTTCACCAATTTGAATAAAAGTATTTTCTTTATATTTCAGATGGCCCTCATTATCCGTCTTCCTTGTCATATTTGGCAGACAGCAGCCTGAGTGAGGAAATGAGTCAATTTGATTTCTCAACTGGCGTTCAGAGCTATTCATACAGTTCCCAAGACCCTAAATCTACCCATGGTCATTTTCGGAGACGGGTGATCACATTTCATATATTAAAAAATATTATTGGCATTTGTAAAGGAAGAGAGGTGCTTCATTGTTAGGGGAAGCCAGTTCTCTGTGGGTAGTCCTCAGAGGATAGTGTGTGGAGAATTTTCTAGGATCTCTTAGCCTTCCTTTGTATAGGCTCAGCAATTGGAGTTCACCAGTATAGGAAGGAAGGCTCTCTTCAAGGGCTGATTCACATTAGTCTCCATGAAATTAGTGTTTGAAATCAGAACTGCATATAAAGGTTTCCAGTGAGAGAGATAACAACCATAGAGACTCAGATGCCATGCTGTGATAGGACTATTGCATTATCCTCTGCAGAAGATGAAGAAGTTATTCAAATATTAGATGTTATCAAACTAAGATGACTGAATGCATCTCAATGGTTCACAAATGATAGCTTAACCTCATGAACAGAGATAGGAAACTGTAGACACATACCTATGCACTTACATAGGGACACAGATGTGTACACATATGGAAAACCATGAGCTCCATGGAACATCTGATTCCCATCTAGGGTTCATTCAACTTTTTCCCTTTGGTTTCTTTGAAATGCACTGACTCACTTCTTTCCCTTAACCCCTCTGAAGCTCTCCTGGTGTAGGTCCTGAAGAATAGGTGGGCACCCCACTCTCTCTGTCTCTACTTCCGGGTACTGTTAGGCAGTTCTTGCCCCATTTTGGCCTGCCCAGTGGCTTTTTGCCTGAGAAGGGCTTGAGCAGTGCAGTGTTTTTGAAGTTGAGTTGGACTGTAAAAGTACAACATAAAGATGTTGCCCGTAGGATTGGCTTCTTCCTTTGTATTGAATACTTCAAGAGGAGCCCATTCATTAATTCTTTCATCCAGGATCCCTGGGTGGCGCAGCGGTTTGGTGCCTGCCTTTGGCCCAGGGCGCGATCCTGGAGATCCCGGATCGAATCCCACATCGGGCTCCCGGTGCATGGAGCCTGCTTCTCCCTCTGCCTGTGTCTCTGCCTCTCTCTCTCTCTCTCTCTGTGACTATCATAAATAAAAATTAAAAAAAAAAATTCTTTCATCCAGATTATGTTATACACCTGTACTGGGCAATAAAAAAGTACGATTTCGTTCTGTTATGGCTACATTGTCTAGTGAGACTCCTCCTTTGTGAATAGGCCATTTCCATTGAGGCATCTTGGGTTCAGTCCTAATGCCTTCAATTTGATTGCGTGACTTGACTCTCTGGTTTCAAATCTATCCAGTCTTTGTGAGCAGCATCTTGACATGCAGTAATTTTGACTGAAAAACATATTGAGTAGAACTGAATGCAGTCAGATACTGTAATTAATTCCTTTGACACCTTACTCTGATTTTTTTTTTTTTTATGGCTCATTGGTTTTTTTTTTTTTTCTTATTTCTTGTAACCCTGATTGTGTATGATATAACCCTGATTGTGTATGAAATTTACTGTTTCAGTACTCATTTAGCACTGCTCTTACTACAATTTAACACCACTTTCTATCATTTCTAAGCCTCCAATTTATGGACATTTCCATTATCTTTGGGAAGAAAGAGACCATGGGCACGGGTTACAAGAGGAGTACTTTTACAAATACTGTGCAGCCTGGGAAGTGATGTTCTGAGATAGCTCCTGCTGCCAGAGAAGAATGAATTACTGAACTACCTAGGGCCATTTTTTTTAAATAATAAATTTATTTTTTATTGGTGTTCAATTTGCCAACATACAGAATAACACCCAGTGCTCATCCCGTCAGGTGTCTAGGGCCATTTTTATTCCTCTTTCTATTCAGTCTCTGCAAGCACTGAATTTCCCCATGCTTAATTTTAATTTTAACTATACAAAAACTTCTTAGCATCTCTCAAATCTTTCTTTCCTGGAAGTGATTTGTGCTTGGAAATATCCAGATAAATTGTTTCACTTTTTGTGTGTGTGTAAAATTTACTGTACATGTATGTAAAACCTCAATTTAGCATTACACTTATAAAATTATTACCTCTGCTGTGATTTCTAAGAATTTTAGGGCCAACAGTGGTTTAAAAGTTTTGTTCTTTTATTGATTAAAATTTCAAGACAAGGACTTTACAGAATTTTTTCAGAGAAACACTCTTTTTCAGTTTACTGAGAAAAAAAATATAGGTAAAAATTTATCTTATAGTTTAATTTCAGTAGCTCCACTTTCTCCATAATGTGGCCAATAAGAATTATGGAGACTATTGTTCTTAAGGAGTTGAGAGTTCTGGGGCCTCCCAAGACAAACATTTGTAAAGATCTTGCTGTCTGTACAAAGCAGCATGTGTGGCATTGATGCTGTGATCTGAATGTGACGCTGAAGGGAGTCACCATGCGTATAAGAAATCAGAGAGGAAATCTGTATCTAGAATGTAAGGAAGACATGAAGTCCTGGGTTATTTTTAGTTGTTTAATAAGAAAACCTAACAAGTATATTCAATATTATTACTAATATATCATTGTTACCTAAGTATGTCTTTTATGATACTGTCTCAAAAGTCAGAATATCAGATACACTGAGATTTTAGCAGTGTACTCTTCATCATCAGATTCTTCCCTTTTCCTAGGAGCATAAAGACCCCATGGTCCAAGATGCTGTCCTAGAGTTAGAGATGGATGAGCTCAATCAACACGAATGTATGGCAACCATGACAGCCCTGATTAAGCACATGCAGAGAAATCAGATACTATCTAAAGATGAGGTTTGTATCTGCTAATCTTGTCTCATTTAATTCTGTTTATTAGTATCATAGTAAGAATAAACAATATCAAATACCAAATTCTGTATCTAATAAACATGATTTTTTTGTTGTTCATGTCTTACTTTGTCATCTCATAATATCAAAATGTGAAGTTATTTCATTCCACTTTTTAATGTAATCTTGAATGTATCATTTCAGGGTTCAGTACCAAGAAATCTTCCTCCTTGGATGAAATTTCTTCATGACAAACTAGGAAATCCATCGGTATCATTAAATATCCGTCTCTTCTTAGCTAAGCTTGTTATTAATACAGAAGAAGTAAGTAATTTGTTTCCTTAAAAATTCTTTGCAGTTGGTAAGATGGCAGAGAAATAGGGGGAACCCTAAGTTTGTCTTATCTCTCTGATGCAACTAGCTAGTTAGCAAATCATTCTGAAGTCAGTCAGAGGTCTGAGAAAACAAATGCCACAAATTTACCAGAAGAAGAGCGACCACTGACCACCGTTTGGAAGGTAGGAGGTGCAGAGACTTGAATCCATTTGTGGCATAGCAGAAGATACAGCTGGGGGAGGGAGCCTGCTTAAGGAGGCTACTGCAGAATATAATTAGTGGAGTGCAAAATCAGGACATCTGGAAGTCTGCTAAGTGGGGGATGTTCATAACTTAAAGTAGCGTGGGTGCTGAAGCAGGGCAGAATCGCAGATGTGACAGCATAATCTTAGGATCCCTGGGATTGCAAGAAGAACATCTGGTGCTTGAGTGTGGTGGAGCTCCCAAGCATAGGAGCAGAGAAGCCGGCTGAGAACACTGAGTCTAGGTTCTGGCTTTGTGCTCTGTGTTGCCATAAACTGCGCAGTGATCATGCTACCACTTTCCTGGGAGGGGTCTAGCAAAAGGTAGAAATGGGCTGACACCCGTACACTCCCGTAGGAAGAATAGCATGGGTCCACCCCACAGGAGTCCCTAAAATTTGGTTTGAAACTCAGTCGTATGCCTGAGATGAAAGGGCATAGTCACCGGCTGAGTGAACACAGTTCTCATGGAAACTGGGGAGACAAGAGTGATGGCTCTTCTGTGAGGGCTCCCTGAAGAGTGGGGAGCGCCACCATGTTCCTTCTGCCCATCAGAGCTGAAAGCCTTCAGGGAGCAAAACAGCGCCACTTAGTGGAGTCCAGAGCTGCTAACACCAAGCTCTGCCTTTGCTCACTGGAGATGCATTTCCATGAGAGCAGGTGCGCCTGAGAATCAGTGCAACAGGCCCCTCACCAGAAGGCTTGCAAATAACTCACTCTCACCAAGTTTGCTGATGATAGAGGGCTACAAGACTTCAGCTCTAGGGGAAAACACTATATACCATTCTATTTTTATTCCTTAGTCTTTTAGTATTTCTTTTTGTTATTTTTTTTCATTTAATTTCTTATTCCTGTAAAATTTTTATCTACATATATACTTTACATGTATATCTTATTTTTCATTTCCTTTCACTGTATTTTATAATTGCATATATATATTTTTTTCTTTCTTATTTTGGGATCTAATTTAACAAGAAGATCAAAACACAATCAGGATCTAGTTTTGTTTTGTTGTTTTTTTCTGTTGTCATTGTTACTGTTTTTTTTCTTTCTTTATTCTTTTCTTTCTGAACAAAATAACAAGATGAATAAATTCACCCAAAAAGAAAGAACAGCAGATAGTATTTACTGCCATGGATTTCATCAATATGGGTATAACTAAGATGTCTGAACTAGAATTTAAAACAACGAATAAAAAAATAATATTAAAAAAAATAAAACAACGAATATAAAGATACTAAGTGGGCCTGAAAAAGCATTAGAAAACCCTAGAGAGAGAGAAAAAGAAAAAAACCTAGAGAATCTCTTACTGTAGAGGTAAAAGAACTAAAGTTTAGTCAGGCCAAAATTTTAAAAAGCTATAACCAAGATGCAGTCCAAAATGGAGTCTAAAAAATGAGGATGAATGAAGCCGAAGAGTGAACCAGTGAGTGATACAGAAGATAAAATGATGGAAAATAAGAAAGCTGAAAAGAAGAGGGAAAGAAACCTACCAGATCAAGAAGGTAACTGAAGGAATTCAGTGATTCCATAAAGCAAAGTAATATCCATATTATAGGAGTCCCAGAAGATGAGAAGAAAGGGGGAGAAGGTTTATTTGAAGGAAGTATAGCTAAGAACCTCCCTAATCTGGGGAAGGAAACAGGCATTCAAGTCCACAAAGCACAGAGAACCCCCCTCAAAATCAACAAAAACAGATCAACACCTCAACATATTATGGTGACCCTTGCAAATTATAAAGATAAAAAGAAAATCAAGGTGCCTGGGTGCTCAGTTGGTTAAGCATCTGCCTTTGGCTCAGGCCCGTGATTCCAGGGTCCTGGGATTGAGCCCTACATCAGGCTCCCTGCTCAGTCAGCAGTCTGCTTCTCCCTTTCCCTCTGCCTTGGCTGGTGCTCTTGCTCACTCACTCGCTCTCCTCTCAAATAAATAAAATCTAAAAAAAAAAAAAAAAAAAAAAGACAAAGAAAAAATCTTGAAAGTAGCATGGGATAAAAAGTCCTTAACATACAAGGGTAGACACATAAGGCTGGGAGCAGACCTGTCCACAGATCAGAGAAGCCAAAAAGAACTGGCATGGTATATTTAACATGCTAAGTGGGAAAAAATATGCAGAAAAGAAATCCAGCAAGGCTGTCATTCAGAATAGGAGAGGTAAACGGTTTCCAGAACAAACAAGAACTAAAGGAATTTGTGAACACTAAACAAGCTGTGAAAGAAATATTAACGGGGATCCTTTGAGGGAAGAGAGAACCCAAAAGTAACAAAGACCAGAAAGGTCTTTGGAACAGTGACCTACAGGTAACACAATGGCACTAGATTCATATCTTTCCAGCATTACTCTGAATGCAAATGGACTAAATGTTACAATCAAAATGCATAGGGTATCAGAATGGATTAAAAATAAAAAAAAGACCCATCAATATACTGTCCACAGCAGACTCATTTTAGACCCAAAGACACCTCTAGATTGAAAGTGAGGGGGTAGGGAACCATTTATCTTTCCAGGGGACATCAGAAGAAAGCTAGAATAGCCATTCTTATATCTAACATATAGTTTTAGATCAAAGACTACTAAGAGATGAAGGACACTGTCTTATAATTAAAAGGTCTGTATAGCAAGAAGATCTGACAATTATAAATATTTATGTTCCTAACTTGGGAGCAGCCAAATATATAAACCAATTAATAACAAAATTATAGAAACTCATTGATAATACTACAATAATAGTAGGGGAATTTAACACCCTACTCATAGCAATGGACAGATAATCTAAGCAGCTAATCAACAAGGAAACAAAGGCTTTGAATGACAGACACACTGGACCAGATGGAGTTTACAGATACATTCAGGTCATTTCACCCTAAAGCAGCAGAATATACATTTTTCTCCAGTGCACGTGGAACATTCCCCAGAATAGATCGCAGACTGGGTCACAAATCAGGTCTCAACCACTACAAAAACTTGAAGTTAACCACAAGAAAAATGTTGGAAGGACCACAAAAACATGCAGATTAAAGAGCATTCTACCTTTTTAAACAATAATTAATTAATTAATTAATATATTTATTCATGAGAAACATAGAGACGCAGAGACACAGGCAGAGGGAGCCTGATGTGGGACTCGATCCCAGGATCACGTCCTGAGCTAAAGGTAGATGCTCAACCACTGAGCCACCCAGTTATCCCAAGAGCATCTTACTAAAGAATGAATGGGTCTACCAGGAAATAGAAAAAGAATTTTAAAAAATTCATGGAAACAAATGAAAATAAAATCATGACAGTTTAGAATTTTTGAGATACAGCAAACATGATCCTAAGATAGAAGTAGATAGCAATAGAGGCCTTCCTCAAGAGACAAGTCTCAAAAGCACAACCTAACCTTATACCTAAAAGAGCTGGAAGAAGAACAGCAAATAAAGCCTACATCTAACAGGAAAAGAGACATAATAAAAATTAGAGCAGAAATCAATGATACAGAAATCAAAACAAATGAAAACAATTAGAACAGATCAATGAACTGAGGAGCTGGTTCCTTGATATAATTAATAATTTTGATAAACTCCTAACCAGACTTATCAAAAAAAAAAAGGAAGAAAAAGATCCAGATCAATGAAATCATGAACAAAAGAGGAGAGATCACAACCAACACTGAAGAAATGCAAACAATTAGAGAATATTATGAATAATTATATGCCAGCAAGGCAATCTGGAAGAAATAGAATCATTCCTAGAAACATAAAACTATGCCAACTGAAACAAGAAGGAATAGAAAACCTGAACAGACCCATAATCAGCAAAGAAATTGAATTAGTAATCCAGAATCTCCCAATAGCAGGAGTCCAGGGACAGATGGTTTCCTAGTGAGATTCTACCAAATATCTGAAACTGTTCCCAGAAACGGAAATGGAAGGAAAACTTCCATACTCATTCTATGAGGCCGGCATCAAACAAGGCAAAAACCCCCACTGAAAAGGAGAATTACAGACCAGTATCTCTGCTGAATGTTGATGCCAAAATTCTCACCAAGATACTAATAAGATCCTAAGGTACATTAACAGGATATTCTCCATGACCAAGTAGTCTTTATTCCTGGGCTGCAGGGGTAGTTGACATTCCTCAGTTCAATGAAGGTGATACACCACATTAATAAAAGAAAGGACAAGAACCATATGTCCTCTTGATAGATGTAGAAAAACCATTTGACAAAATACAGCATCCATTTTCTGCATCCTCACCAGCATTTGTTGTTTCCCATCTTGTTAATTTTAGCCATTCTGACAGGTGTGAAGTGGTATGTCATTGTGGTTATGATTTTGTATCCCTGATGATGAGTGATGTCGAGCTTCTTTTCATGTGTCTGTTACCCATCTGGATGTCTTTCTTTGGAAAACTGTATATTCATGTTTTCTGCACATTTTTTAACTGGACTATTTGTTTATTGGTTATGAGTTTTATAAGTTCTTTATGTATTTTGGATACTAGCCCTTTATTAGATAAACCATTTGCAAATATCTTTTCCCATTCTTTAGGTTGCCTTTTAGTTTGTTGATTGTTTACTTTGCTGTGCAAAAGCTTATCTTGACAAATTCCTAATAGTTCATTTTCTTTTATTTCCATGCTTCAGGAGACATATCTACTGAGAAGTTGATATGTCATAGATGTTACTTCCTGTGTACTTCTGTAGGATTTTGATGGATTTCTGTCTCACATTTAGGTCTTGCATCGATTTCGAATTTATTTTTGTGTATGGTGTTAGGAATTGGTCTAGTTTCATTCTTCTGCATGTTACTGTCTAGTTTTCCCCACACCACTTGTTGAACATTCTCTTTCCCACTGAATATTCTTTCCTGCTTTGTCAAAGATTAGTTGGCTATAGGATTGAGGGTCCATTTGTGGTTTCTCTGTTCTGTTTCATTGATCTATGTGTCTGTTTTTATGCCAGTACCATGCTGTTTTTGATGGTCACAGCTTTACAATATAGATTGTTAAAGTCAGGAATTATGATGCCTCTAGCTTTGGTTTTCTTTTTTCAGCATGCTTTTTTTATTCAGTGTCTTCTGTGATTCCATATAAATTTTAGAATTGTTGGTTGTAGTTCTGTGAAAAATGCTTATGGTATTTTGAGAGAGATTGCATTGAATGTGTGGATTGCTTTGGGTAGTATAGACATTTTAATAATATTTGTTCTTCCAATCTGTGATAATGGAGTGTCTTTCCATTTCTCTGTGTTCTCTTCAATTTCTGTCTTAAGTGTTCTATAGTTCTCAGAGTACAGATCTTTTACCTCTTTGGTTAGATTTATTCCTAGATATCTTATGGTTTTTGGTGTAATTGTAAATGGATTAATTTCTTGATTTCTCTTTCTGCTGCTTCATTATCGGTGTAGAGAAATGCAGATTTCTGTATGTTGATTTTGTATTCTGTGAATTTGCTGCATTTGTGTATTAGTTCTGGCAGTGTTTTGGTGGACTTTTTCAGGTTTTCTACATAGAGTATGACATCATCTGCAATAGTGAAAGTTTGACTTCTTCCTTGCTAATTTGGATGCCTTTTATTTCTTTTTGTTGTCCGATTGCTGTGGCTAGGACTTCCAGTATGGTGTTAAATGACAGTGGTGGAAGTGGACATCTCTGTCGTGTTCCTGATCATAGATGAAAAGCTCTCATTTTTTCCCCATTGAGGATAATATTAGCTGTGGGTTTTTTGTAGATGTCCTTTATGATATATGTTTTCTCTAGTCCTACTTTGTTGAGGGTTTTTATCATTAATGGATGTTGTGCTTTTCAAATGCTTTTTCTGCATTTGTTGAAAGGCTCATATGATTGTATTCTTTCTTTTATTATTATCATAACACATTGATTGACTTGCTCATATTGAAACACCTTGCAGCCCAGAAGCAAATCCCACATGATCGTGGTGAATTATTTTTTTTTAACCTACTGTTCAATTTGGTAGTATCTTTTTGAGAACTTTTATACCCATGTTCATCAGGGATATTGATTGGCCTTTAGTGTTCTTTATTAATGGAGTCTTGGGTTTTGGTTAAAATTTCAACTCTTAAATTTATTGATTTTGCAGATCTTCTTTGACTTATGATGAGGTTACAATCCAATAAACCCATCATAAGTTGAAAATACATAGGGGATCCCTGGGTGGCTCAGGTTTAGTGCCTGCCTTTGGCCCAGGGCACGGTCCTGGAGTCCCAGGATGGAGTCCCACATTGGGCTCCCAACATGGAGCCTGCTTCTTCCTCTGCCTGTGTCTCTGCCCCTCTCTCTCTCTATGTCTATCATGAATGAATGAATGAATGAATGAATGAATGAATAACTTAAAAAAAAATACACGTAGTACACTTAGTTTGCCAAACATCATAGCTTAACCTCACCTACCTTAAACATGCTCAGAGCACATATGTCAGCACATAGTTGGGCAAAATCTAACAGAAAGCTTATTTTATAATAAGGTGCTGAATATCCCATGTAATTGATTGAATGCTGTACTGAAAGTGAAAACCAGAATAGATGTACGGGTGCAGAATGGTTTTAAGTATATCATTTGTTTACCCTTGTGATAGCATAGCTACTGGGGAGCTGTGAGTGCTGCTTGCCTCTGTGCAGCATCCCAGTAGTATCATCCTACACATCGTTTGCAAGCTCAGGAAAAGATACAAATCCAAAGTACAATTTCTACTGAAAGCATATTGCTTTTCTTAGCATCATGAAGTTCAAAAATCTTAAGATTTAACTTAGTCCTGGTAAGTCAGGGACTGTCTATAATTTAATAATCAAGAAGTTTATCTTTGTTATTTATAAATCAACAGACATACATGGAGAGTGCAGACTTTTTTTTACTTATGGTATGCATAAACAAGAAGATTTGAGAGCATATGGATTTAAGTTGTGAGAGAAACTCTGAGGAAGCATATTTAATGAAAATTAAGTGGCAAAGGTTAAGAAGATAGGTAGCTTGAATTTTACTTTAGTTCTTTTGAATCAAAATGGCATTCTCTTGACATTTTTAAAATAAACTAAGTGGACCTTAGCATATGGATACATTTTATTTAGATTTTATAGATCTTGGGCAGATGAAATCTATAACACTGTGATTTCTGTAATACAAGAAAAATGAGAAAAAATTAGCCACATGCACCTACCTAATTTTTATGTTCTTATTTGTCATATACACTATGCATTTGCATATAATAACAGAGTTCTCTAGAGCTGCATATTATTCAGGTGGGACAAGATTGATATAGAGAATATTTCCTTTTGATTGTTAAGATCATAGTTATATCATGTTTTCAATGAAGAAAAGATCAATAATCCATTTCCCTCAAATTGTGGTTTTTAGGAACCCATGAGGCTAGAGTTCAACAGAGAATCTGATTAAGCAGAGTAACTGCTGGAATTTACATCTGCTTTAGATTTAGGTCAAATGCTAATATTAAATTTTAGCTGATGCAGGATACGTTCTTGAATTAACATTTTGGTGATTCGAAACAATTTTTTGATATTTGACTTTTAAATTTTCTTGTAGGTCTTTCGCCCTTATGCGAAGTACTGGCTAAGCCCCTTACTGCAGCTGGTGGTTTCTGAAAATAATGGAGGAGAAGGAATTCACTATATGGTGGTTGAGATAGTGGTTACTGTTCTTTCGTGGACAGGATTAGCTACTCCTGTGGTAAGAATGGATACATCTTTTATGCCGTACTATATTAGTCTCTTGCTGATATCATACCAGAATTTATGACAAATAATCCAAGCTCCTTTTAATGAAAAGAGTTAACATTTTTAGCGTTGTCATATTGCTGTACTAAGTAGCCTCATAATGCTTTAGTCTATTTGTTTTCTTTTGTGTCTGCTTTTGATAATTCCTCTGACTTTGTGTTTATTTTTAAGCTATCAGGTGTTTGTTTTGTTTCTTGCTTTTACTTGCTAGGAGCTTGGAAACTAGGTAACTGATATATTAAAAATAAGCTTGAAATAAATGTCAGTATAGGCCCTGAATATGAGGTCCTGAAAAGTTCTGCTGTAACTAAAGTCCCTGGATTTTTTTGGCATTTGTTTTGCCAGCTTACCTACTTAGTATTGTCTCTGGCTCATTAATGGTTGAGATTGCCAATAAAAAGGTGACTACCAGGTGAATGATATTATGTCATACTCAGGCAGTCTTGTGGCTTCCTCCAGTTTAGATTCATATGTGCTAGAGCTTTGCCCATCACTTAAAAACTTTAGCACAAAAGTTTTCATGTAATATCCTGTGAACACTCCAAAAATGGATTTTTGGATTAAAAAATGCTTTTCCTAGCATTCCATGCACGTGAATTAGAAGAAGAAACATTGTTAAAATGTCTATACTACCCAACGCAATCTCCACATTTAATGCAATCCCTATCAAAATACCACCAGCATTTTTCACAGAGCTAGAACTAAACAATCCTAAAATTTCTATGGAACCGCAAAAGACCCTGAATAGCCGAAGTAGTTATGAAAAAGAAAAATGAACTGGAGGCATCACAGTTCTGATGATTTCAAGCTGTATTACAAAGCTGTGATCATCAAGACAGTGTGGTTCTGGCACAAAAGAACCCAGACACATGAATCAGTGGAACAGAATAGAGAACCCAGAAATGGATGTTCATTCCTATAGTCAACTAATCTAATAAACAGAATATCAACTAATAAACAGAAAAGAATATCAAATGGAAAAAAGTCTCTTCAACAAATGGTGTTGGGAAAACTAACAGCCACATGTAGAACAATGAAACTAGACCACTTTTAACACCATGCACAAAAATAAATTCAAAATGTATGAAAGACTTTAATGTGAGATAGGAACCATCAAAATCCTAGAGGAGAACAAAGCCACCTCTTTGACCTCAGCCATAGCAACTTCTTATTAGATATATCACCACAGGCAAGGGAAGGAAAGCAAAAATGAACTATTGGGACTTCATCAAGATAAAAAGCTCTGCACAGTGAAGGAAACAATCAACAAAACTAAAAGGCAGTCTTCAGAATGGGAGAAGATATTTGAAATGACATACCTGATGGAAGGGCTAATGTCTAAAATCTACAAAGAACTTCTAAAACTCAACACCCAAAAACAAATAACCCAGTTAAGAAATGGGCAGAAGACATGAATAGATGCTTTTCCAAAGAAGACATCCAGATGACTAAAACATACATAAAAAAGATGCTCAACATCACTAATCATCAGGGAGATACAAATCAAAACCACAATGAGATAACATTGCACACCAGTCAGAATGGCTAAAATGAGCAAGGCAGGAAACAACAGATGTTGACGAGAATGTGGAAAAAAACAAATGCTCTTAACAAGGTGTTGGTGGGAATCCAAACTGTGCAGCCACCCTGGAGAACAGCAGAGAAGTTCCAGAAAAATGTTGAAAGTAGAACTGCCCTACAATCCAGCAATTACACTACTGGGTATTTACTCAAAGGATACAAAAATACAGATTTGAAGGGATACATCCACCTCAATGTTTATAGCAGCATTATCAACAATAGCCAAACTATGGAGACAGTCCAAATATCCATCAACTGAAGGATGGTTAAAGATGTATCTATACAATAGACTATTACTCAGCCATCAGAAAGAATGAAAACTTGCCATTTGCAATGATGGGGATAGAGCTAGAGTGTATTATGCTAAGTGAAATAAGTCAGAAATAGACAAATACCATATAATCTCATGCGTGTGTAGAATTTAAGAAACGAAACAGATGAACCTATGTGAATGGGGAGAAAAAAAAAAGTAGAGGGAAACATGAGCCATGAGAGACTTTATAGAGAAGAAACTGAAGGTTGCAGGAGGGTGGTTGGTTAGGGACGGGCTAGATGGTGATGATTAAGGAGGGCACTTTCATGATGAACATTGGGTGTTGTATAAGTGATGAATCACTGAATTCTACTCCACACACCAATATTGCATTGTATGTTCATTACCTAAATTTAAATTGAAAAAAATGCTTTTCCAGAATGGAATGCTACATATTAATATAAATTTCTGTACTTTTTTAGGGTGTCCCTAAAGATGAAGTGTTGGCAAATCGATTGCTTCATTTCCTAATGGAACATGTTTTTCATCAAAAAAGAGCTGTGTTTAGGCATAACCTTGAAATTATAAAAACCCTTGTTGAATGCTGGAAGGATTGTTTATCTGTTCCTTATAGGTATAAATTCACTGGATTTTGCAATATCATTTAGACGTTTTAAAAATGTAGCGTGATGTAAATGGTGATTACAGTGAAATTTAATTACTCGAAATAATAAAAGAAGGAATATAATTTGAAATCACATCATTTATAAGGGTATAATATTGCTGCTAATAAAACTATAACCTCCAAAATTTGACAGTAGAAGCACCTCTGGGCAAGTCATTGCCTCTAGGTGGCTCCTGTTCCATCTTTCAACTCACCTGTGGCTTTTCTCACACACTGGGCATGTGGGGTGCTCTCTGCTCTTCACTGTTCCAGTTCAAGGGTAGACTGTACGATTTTTCTTCCCTTTTAGCACAGCCTGAGGTGAGCTAAAACTTTCTGAAGGTTTCAGTATCAACTAAAGGTGAATGGGGGAAATAATTATATCATCAGAAATGTAGATGTGTCTGTGTTGCACAGTAGAGTAATGTGAATGCATACAAAGAGGGTATTTGCAAAAGGGTGTTAAACATAGGGAAAGATAAAGTATTTCTTATCCTGAATATTAGTCATAGAACATTTTATATCTTCTTGCTGCCTATTTTATTATATGATAACCTATATTTATTCTTTATTCTTATGTTTCAGGTTGATATTTGAAAAGTTTTCCAATAAAGATCCTAATTCTAAAGACAATTCAGTAGGAATTCAATTATTAGGCATTGTAATGGCCAATAACTTGCCTCCCTATGACCCAAAATGTGGCATAGAGAGCATAAAGTGAGTATTTTTTGGATATATTTTTATTGGAGTTTGATTTGCCAACATATAGCATAACACCCAGTGCTCATCCCATCCAGTGCCCCCCTCAGTGCCCGTCACCCAGTCACCCCATACCCCCGCCCACCTCCCTTGCTACTACCCCTTGTTCGTTTCCCAGAGTTAGGTGTCTCTCGTGTTCTGTCACCCTCACTGATATTTTCTCTCCTTTCCCCTTTATTCCCTGTCACTATTTTTTATATTCCCCAAATAAATGAGACCATGTAATGTTTGTCCTTCTCCGATTGACTCCCTTCACTCAGTATAATACCCTCCAGTTCCATCCATGTCGAAGCAAATGGTGGGTATTTGTCATTTCTAATGGCTGAGTAATATTCCGTTGTATACATAGACCACATCTTCTTTATCCATTCGTCTTTTGATGGACACCAAGGCTCCTTCCACAGTTTGGCTATTGTGGCCGTTGCTGCTATAAACCTTGGGGTGCAAGTGTCCTGCCATTTCACTGCATCTGTATCTTTGGGTAAATCTCCAGCACTCCAGTTGCTGGGTCATAGGGTAGTTCTACTTTTAACTCTTTGAGGAACCTCCACACAGTTTTCCAGAGTGGCTGCACCATTTCACACTCCCACCAACAGTGTAAGAGTGTTCCCTTTTCTCCACATCCTCTCCAACATTTGTGGTTTCCTGCCTTGTTAATTTTCCCCATTCTCACTGGTGTGAGGTGGTATCTCATTGTGGTTTTGATTTGTATTTCCCTGATGGCAAATGATGCGGAACATTTTCTCATAAACTTGTTGGCCATGTGTGTGTCTTCCTCTGTGAAATTTCTGTTCATGTCTTTTGCCCATTTCAGGATTGGATTGTTTGTTTCTTTGCTGTTTAATAAGTTCTTTATAGATCTTGGATATTAGCCGTTTATCTGATATGTCATTTGCAAATATCTTCTCCCATTCTGTAGGTTGTCTTTTAGTGTTGTTGACTGTTCCTTTTGCTGTGCAGAGACTTTTTATCTTGATTAAGTCCCAATAATTCATTTTTGCTTTGGTTTCCCTTGCCTTCATAGATGTATCTTGCAAGAAGTTACTGTGGCCAAGTTCAAAAAGGGTGTTGCCTGTGTTCAAAAGAAATAAAAGGCATTCAAATTGGCAAAGAAGAGGTCAAACTCTCCCTCTTTGCAGATGACATGAAACTGTACATAGAAAACCCAAAAGTCTCCACCCCAAGATTGCTAGAACTCATATAGCAATTCGGCAGTGTGGCAGGATACAAAATCAATGCCCAGAAATCAGTGGCATTTCTATACACTAACAATGAGACTGAAGAAAGAGAAATTAAGGAGTCAATCCCATTTACAATTGCACCCAAAAGCATAAGATACCTAGGAATAAACCTAACCAAAGAGGTAAAGGTTCTATACCCTAAAAATACAGAACACTTCTGAAAGAAAATGAGGAAGACACAAAGAGATGGAAAAATATTCCCTGCTCATGGATTGGCAAAATTAATATTGTGAAAATGTCTTTGCTACCCAGGGCAATTTACACATTTAATGCAATCCCTATCAGAATACCATGGACTTTCTTCAGAGAGTTGGAACAAATGGTCTTAAGATTTGTGTGGAATAAAAAAAAAAAAAAAAAAGATTTGTGTGGAATCAGAAAAGACCCCGAATAGCCAGAGGAATATTGAATATTGAAAAAGAAAACCAGAGCCGGGGGTATCACAATACCGGATTTCAAGTTGCACTACAAAGCTGTGATCATCAGGACAGTGTGGTACAGGCACAAAAACAGACACATAGGTCAGTGGAACAGAATACAGAATGCAGAAATGGGACCTCAACTCTATGGTCAACTAATATTCAACAAAGCAAGAAAGACTATCCACTGGAAAAAGGACAGTCTCTTCAGTAAATGGTGCTGGGAAAATTGGACAGCCACATGCAGAAGAATGAAACTAGACCACTCTCTTACACCAGACACAAAGATAAACTCAAAATGGATGAAAGATCTAAACATGAGACAAGATTCCATCAAAATCCTAGAGGAGAACACAGGCAACACCTTTTTTGAACTTGGTCATAATATGTTTTAAATTCATTTGTATTTCCTTGGTATTGGTTGTGATCTCTCCATTTTTATTTGTGGTTTTATTAATTAGAGTCTTTTCTCTTTTGTTTTAATAAGGCTGGCTAATGGTTAATTTATCTTACTAATTTTTTCAAAGAACCAGTTTTGGTTCTTTGAACCAGTTTCCTGGTTTTGTTGATCTGTTCCACAGTTCTTCTGGTCTCTATTTCACTGAGTTCTGCTCAAATCTTTTATTAACTCTCTTCTTCTGCTTCGTGTAGGTTTTATTTGCTGTTGTTTCTCCAGTTCCTTTAGGTGCATGGTTAGCTTGTGTTTTTGAGTTTTTTCCAATTTTTTGAGGGATGCTCGTATTGCGATGTATTTCCCTCTCAGGCCTGCTTTTGCTGTATCCCAAAGATTTTGAACGGTTGTATCTGCATTCTCATTAGTTTTCAGGAATCTTTTTAATTCTTCTCTAATTTCCTGGTTGAACCTTTCATCTTTCAGTAGGATGCTCTTTAACCTCCACGTGTTTGAATTTCTTCCAAATTTCTTCTTGTGACTGAGTTCAAGTTTCAAAGCATTATGGTCTGAAAATATGCAGGGGACAATCCCAGTCTTTTGGTATCGGTTAAGACCTGATTTGTGACCCAGTACGTGGTGTATTCTGGAGAAAGTTCCATGTGCACTTGAGAAGAATGTGTATTCAGTGTCATTTGGATGTAAAGTTCTGTAAATATCTGTGAAATCCATCTGGTCCAGTGTATCATTTTAAGCTCTTGTTTCTTTGGAGATGTTGTGCTTAAAAGATCTGTCATTTGCAGAAAGTGCCGTGTTGAAGTCTTCCAGTATTAGTGTATTATTATCTAAGTATGTCTTCATTTTGGTTATTTTTTTTTATTTTTTACTTTATTTTTTATTTATGATAGTCACACACGGAGAGAGAGAGGCAGAGACACAGGCAGAGGGAGAAGCAGGCTCCATGCACTGGGAGCCCAACGTGGGATTCGATCCCGGGTCTCCAGGATCGCGCCCTGGGCCAAAAGCAGGCGCTAAACCACTGCGCCACCCAGGGATCCCCTCATTTTGGTTATTAATTGATTGATATACTTGGTAGTTCCCCTATTAGGGGCATAAATATTCATGTTTGTTAGGTCCTCTTGTTGGATAGATCCTTTAAGTATGATATAGTGACCCTCTTCATCTCTTACTACAGTCTTTGGGATAAACTTTAATTTATCTGATATGAGGATTGCTACCCCTGCTTTCTTTTGAGGTCCACTTGAACGGTAAATGGTTCTCCACCCTTTCATTTTCAGGCTGGAGGAGTCCTTAGGTCTAAAATGAGTTTCTTGTAGACAGCAAATAGATGGGTCTTGCTTTTTTATCCAGTCTGAAACCCTGTGCATTTGATGATATCCTGTAGCCCATTCACGTTCAGAGTTACTATTGAAAGATATGAATTTAGTGTCATCATAATACCTATTCAGTCCCTGTTTTTGTGGATTATTTCTTTGGGCATCCTCTTTCTTTTACAGCGTCCCCTTTAATATTTCTTGCAGAGCTGGTTTGGTGGTCACATATTCTTTCAGTTCCTGCCTGTCTTGGAAGCTCTTTATCTCTCTTTCTATTCTGAATGAGAGCCTTGCTGGATAGAGTATTCTTGGTTGCATGTTCTTCTCATTTAGGACCCTGAATATATCCTGCCAGCCCTTTCTGCCCTGCCAGGTCTCTGAGGAGAGGTCTGCTGTTAATTTCATATTTCTTCCCATATATGTTAGGGATCTCTTGTGTCTTGCTGCTTTAGGATTTTCTCTTTATCTTTGGAATTTGCAAGTTTCACTATTAAATGTCAAGGTGTTGAACGGTTTTTATTGATTTTAGGGGGAGAATCTCTCTATCTCCTGGATCTGAATGCCTGTTTCCCTCCCCAAATTAGGGAAGTTCTCAGCAGTGATTTGTTCAAATATGCTTTCTGGTCCTCCGTTCTTCTCGGTGCCCCTCCCAGGTAAATGTAGATATTTCCCTCTGAGTCTGTCATTTATTTCCCATAACCTTTCCTCATGGTCTTTTAATTGTTTTTCTCTTTTTTTCTCAGCTTCCTTCCTTGCCATCAACTTGTCTTCTATGTCACTCACTCTTTCTTCTACCTCATTAGCCCTTGTCATTAGGACCTCCAGTTTGGATTGCATCTCATTTAATTGATTTTTTAATTTAGGCCTAATTAGATCTAAATTCTGCAGTCATGAAGTCTCTTGATTCCTTTATGCTTTTTTTCCAGAGCCACCAGTAGCTTTATAATTGTGCTTCTGAATTGGCTTTCTGACATGGCATTGTAATCCAAATCTGTAACTCTGTGGCAGAGAGTACTGTTTCTGATTCTTTCTTTTGTGGTGAGTTCTTCTTTCTAGTCATTTTGCTCAGTGCAGAGTGGCTAAAGACGAGTTGTACTTGTTAAAAGCACAAACTCTTCTCTCTGTAGCATTCCAGCTGTTCTCTCTTTAAATCTCAGGTCGAATTTGAAGGTTTTCAGGATGTTTTGAAAGTTATCTAGGTAAGTTGGTGGGGACAGGTGACTTGGGCACCCTACTCCTCCACCATCTTGTCCCACTGTCGCATAAAATGAGTACTGAGGAGTTCAGCTTTGCTTCTTTTCCAGATTAAGATATAGATGAATTGGACTGACACAGTGAAATATGGTCTAATTTTGATGAATTTAAGGAACTAGACCCATGTAAAAAATATTTTTACTAAAATTTAGGTAGTTGGGCTTACAGGTCATTTGATAGAAGAAATATGTTAATGGAGTGAATGCAGAAAGTTAAGGTTTTCAAAATAAGTATAATTTGTTTCAAGTGTGTTTTAGCAAATAGGAGGTGTTAGGTATTTTCTAATGTCTCATTTTCAGCATTTGCCCTAAAGCAACACAAGCTCTGTGGGATCATTTGTTACTGGATCATGACTTAAAAGCCCTGTCACTGTACTTTTTGCTGTAGCTACAGCCTCTGATCCCTCCATTATGACCCTATGTGCGTGGGGATGGATGCCGCCCAATGGCTGGAGGGAGGGATGCTAGTGAGATACATGATGTGATGAGCACTGAGTGTTATATACTTCAGATGAATTATTGAAAATTGCATTTGAAACTAATAATGTAATATATGGTGACAGATTGAATTTAAATTAAAAAAAAAAGATAATCTGTACCATCATAGAATGGAACTTCATTGTCCTACCGTTTTAGGATTTTTGAAAAGTCAGTGTTTGCATCACTGTTACTGTAGATTTGAGCATCCACCTTCTGAGCTTTTCCCATTATTTTTAGAGTGTCTCACTTTGGTTGGCCTTCATGCATTAGCCTCCTGGCACTAGTTACACCAGTCACCTGATACTGTATACAGACATGTGAGTCCATAAAGACTCAATGGGAAATAGTTTACTTTTAGATGGGTTACATTTTTGGAGCTTTGATTCACTCAATGACAACTGAACAGAGCTTCTCTGGAGGTGGAGCCTAACGTGCTGTGGCCGATGGAGTCCGGGGGCCCTGCGCTGGTGTTCACTCTCCTCATTTCTGTGTCCTGCTCTTGTCATAGCAGATGGCTTTCAAGGGTTGTTGATAAATCATGATATTGGATAGTAGCTTTCTTTTCACTATGGTTTCTGTATACCATCCAGCACTATGTTTTACTTTGACTATAGTAGGTCCTGTGTGATTGAACTGGGAACTTTAATGTACATTCCTGGTCATGATGTAACAGCCTTAAGTATATCTTCACATGTATTTTCACATAAATACCTTGGATTATGTTTTATGTTTTGTATTTTCTCAATTTGTGCTATTAATGTGGCACAAAGAGTAAAGTTGTTAAATTTTTATGTCAACAGTATGTATTATTTGATACATATTTATTTTCTATATTTGTTACAGATACTTTGAAGCTTTAGTCAGTAACATGTCCTTTGTAAAATATAAAGAGGTATATGCAGCAGCAGCAGAAGTTCTAGGACTTACTCTTCGATATATTACTGAGAGAGAAAATGTGAGTGTGTTATACAATTTTAATAAATACTTCTTTTTCAGATTTGATTTATCATTAACACTTGTTACTTATATCCTCTATAATGTAATAAAGCAAAGTGGGCATTCTGCATTTATTAATACTTTAGTCTTTCTGGTTGTATACAGTGCTCGATTTTTTTTAAAGAGGACATACGATTTTTTTGAACACTTGTAAACTTCGTGAACATTTAAAGATTGGTAAATTTTTATTGTGAAAGTCAGAATATGAATATATAACTGGTTTTCATTCCTCTGAAAGTAATGCCAGGATTTCCTTTTGGAGAAAATTATTTTGTTGGCTACCTGCCATGGTTAGTTAGAGCTAAGGTAACTAGGAAAATGCCCTAGTTCCAATCTGGGACAGAATATAGCTGTGAGACAGGACAGGGTACCTCAGAGACCATTTCTCAGTCTTGCGTGCCCTACCCACTTTACAGAATTACCTCACTGTATCTTCAAGTGCAATGTACATTCAGAGTACTGCAGTACTCAATAGCATGTGTAATTATTACAAATATGTAAATTTCTTGGACCAGTGTATGGAAATTACATGTTCTAAATTACTTGAAAATAGCATAGTGGAATGATGCTTACATTGCTGTCCTTCCATGATTAGTAAGTGAGGTGCTATGTATTTTGGAGCCCTCAAAACCACTGTCACTCATTGTGATAAGCCGCTCTTGGCAGGTCTTTTTGCAATCTGTCCAAGATGACATAGTTGATCATTCCTCCTGATTTCCCTTTGTCATTGCTTCTAGGACACTCTTTTGGCTCTCTTCCTACTTCCTGGGCAGTTTCTTCTTTCTTCTGTAGCTCCATGTTTCTTGGTCACCTCCCTAGCTCTGGTCCTCCTGCTCCCCTGTCAACTATCCAGCCTATGGCTTTGGAAACTGCCTGTATGTTCATGATTCCCAACTTTATACCTCCAGTCCACATATTCTTCTGAAAGTAAAGATGCAGAGTAGAGATTGGGCTGTTTTCACTATGTGACTGGGTGAGGAGTTTAGGGAAGGCAGAAGATCCTGAAGGCACCCAGCATACCCCAGCACAATGTAGTGGACCCCTGCGCATTTTGCTAGTTGAGCATTTATTTATGTTTAAAAAAAAGTTAAGGGAAAGAGAACTTTTTGAGGAGATCAGTCTTATAATTTATTTTAGGGATTACCAGCTATTTTTGTAAAATAAGATTTTAATATTTAGAATAACCTTGTTGTTATTACAGGATTCTGATGTCCCTAGTGTTAGGTTTCAGATTACATAATATGCTAAATTTTCAGTACAGATGGAGCAAATTATAGCAGATCCCAGGTTTAATCTCTCTTCACTTAAATTTCAAGTTAGTAAGAATGATAAATATTTTTTTTACATAGTTCTTTTCTGAATATAAAATGGTATTGAGTTAGTGTAGAAATTAGAAAAAGAGTGAAATATAAGGAAGTGAGAATCACTCATATTCTAACCACTAAATTGCTTTTAGTGCCTGAGATGTAGTCTCCAGTCATCAGCATGTATGTGCATGCATTTGTCTTCTGTTGTTCACCCATATTGTATTCTTTTATAATTTTGGTTATATATGTCAGGTACTTACTGGCTGGCTCTGGGCTCTGAGCATGCAGCCAGGAACAGGGCAGGCCAAGCCCCTGCCTCAGGAAGCTAGCTAGCATTAGGTGAGGGAATACAGACAATACACGAGCGAATCTATCATGGTAAATAGTAACACGTGTTGAAGAGAAAACTATAGGGAGATATACAGTGATGGGGTTGGTTGTTTAGATAAAGTTGCTTAAAAATTCTGGTCTGTATGAATATTTGACCAGAGATATTAACCCTGACATCATAAAATATGTTTACCTAGCATTTAGTTACTGATTTTAGTTCAGCTTCTCAAATAACTTGTTAGCAGTATTTCAGGTGTCAGAGGAAGCACTAATCTTTACTAACCTGCCGTCGGACAGCAGCTGGATGCCACCAGTGGTAGCAGCACAGAGCAGGCATGGTGATGGCTTGATTCACCCAACTCACAGCCCCAGATCTTCTTGTGGCCAGGGGTTAATGCCAAACCTGTGCACACGCCTGACACTGTATCCTGTGAACACCTTTACTTTGTAGGTGATAGCATGGAACACCTTCCTTGAGTTCACTTAACTATTCAAGACAAACCTGTTTTCAGTAAACAGTGTAAGTTTGCACCTTTGTGAATTTGAAAAAAAAAAAATGAATTTTTCAGATATTGGAGAATATGGTGTATGAACTGGTCATAAAGCAGTTGAAACAACATCAGAATACGATGGAGGACAAATTTATTGTGTGCTTGAACAAAGTTGTGAAGAACTTTCCTCCTCTTGCTGATAGGTAAGATGTCAGTTATGGTGGACATCGTGTTGGAAGGGACTGTCTGTAACTGTCCTCTCACTCATTGGCCATGTCCACTGGTTAGATTTATGAACGCCGTATTCTTCCTGCTGCCAAAATTTCACGGAGTGATGAAGACCCTCTGTCTGGAGGTGGTGTTGTGTCGTGCAGAGGAAATAACAAATATCTACTTAGAGTTAAAGAGCAAAGATTTCATTCAAGTCATGAGACACAGGTGAGTGTGAAACTAGCTCTATATTCTCAGAGGCAGCTGGCTCATAAAATTTTGATTTGTTCAGCTGTCTCCTTCAACTAAAAGAATTTGTAGGTTTTCATAAAATATATTTGTTAAATTTTAATCAGAATTAAAGGTGGTAGAGCATGCCCTCCTGCCTCCTATGATGTGACACTTTGGGAAAGCCACACCTCAAGCATTGTCTGTGGCTCTTTTCAGATTTAAAATGCATGGTTTTGAGTTCTGTAGTCATTTTGCCAGCTAGGAGGCTTCCATTATTTCTTAAAATGATTCATTTATTTTCACATTATACTACTAAAATATTAAAGGTGATGTTGATCACTTACAGTGATTCAGTATTTCCCTGTAGAAATACTGATTACAGTATTTCTCTGTACTCTTTTTCAGACTTGTCTGTATACATATTTTTTACATAGGGATAAATTATTAATGCCAATAACAAAGAATATGTCATTGTGTTGTGTTATCCTTCAGTAGAAATTTACTGAGTATCTACCGTGAGTAAAGCATTAAGCTGGGGGCTTTGAGGAGGAAAAAATACATAAAACCAGGAAACAGGTGTGCACTTTATTTGAGGCCCAGGCTACTCTTAACTTGGTTTTGACCTGCCCAGGTGGCTTGACTAGCACTTGAAATCATTTTTTCAAAATGTGGAATCCTTTGTTTTTAATTTACTTATTTAATTTATTAATTTAATTTATTTAATTTATTTTTAATTTATTTGGTTGACATTTGGGATTTTTAAAAAATGAACTTTTATTTTGGAATAACTTTATATTTACAGAAAAGTTGAAAGATAATGCACAAAGTTCTCATGTACCCTTCACCCAGTTTTTCCGTGTCATATAATTATGGTACATTTGTCAAAACTAAGAAATTCACATTGGTATGTTACTGTTAACAAAACAACACTTTATATAGATTTTATCAGTTTTCTCACTAATGTCCTTTTTCTATTCCAGGATCCAATGCAGGATACCACAGTGAATTAATCTGTATTTTTTTAACATTCTAGCTCATGATAATTTTTTTAAATGTAATTTTTATGTTTCTGTTGTAATAAATTTTGCAATAGCACAAAGAAGAAAAAGTTACTTGTCATATCTGAAAGTATAATAAAAATTGTTAAATTTGTGTGTTTTTAAAAATCTCTCGTTATAGAGATGATGAAAGACAGAAAGTGTGTTTGGACATAATTTATAAGATGATGGCAAAATTGAAGCCAGTAGAACTCCGAGACCTTTTGAATTCTGTCGTAGAATTCATTTCTCATCCTTCTCCAGTGTGTAGGGAACAAATGTATAATATTCTAATGTGGGTTCATGACAATTACCGGTAAGCTCTACGTTAACTTAAAAAAAAAATTTTTTTTTTTTTTAGTGGGAGGTGGTGGTGGAGGGGTAGGAAGAGGGAGAACAAGAATCTTAAGCAGACCCCACACCCAGCACAGAGCCTGATATGGGGCTTGATCTCATGACCCTGAGATCATGACCTGAGCTAAAACCAAGAGTTGGGTGCTTAACTGACTGAGCCATCCAGGCACCCCACTACATTAATATTTTATATTACTATTTTTAAGGGAATATTTGGGTGCTTATAGCAATCTGGAACAGATTATAATAAATAATAAAACACTTTTAAACATATGATTAATGATTAAAACAAGTTTATTTTAGTACATTGACATGTATCCTTATTTTAACTCCTTTTATGTACCTATGGGAAATATTCAGAGTATGCAGTTATTGGTTGAGTTAATAGTGTAATCTGTTTTTATAGTTATCCCTTTAAGATCTGACAAAATTAAGGAAATGAACTCTGTGGGATGTCTTTATCCTATAGGACGTCCATCACACCACTTCCTAGGAGAGGTCTGATCCTCTCCAGGGACCTCTTAGCATTCCCAGGGAGCCCTGTGCAGCCCTGCTTACATTACCCATCCACTCTGCCTCATGCATGTGAGCCCTATCACTTTGCGGGGGGGCGGGGGGGGTGATGACAGTCACTTTGATGGGCTCACAGAGGCATCAGAGGAGGGTGTCAGGGTATATACATATGAGGGTAGGTTCTGCTGTGATTTGGGAAGTTAAAATACCATGGGAAAAGCCAGATTATTTTCCTTTAATTATAGGTGGTGTTTTGGGGTTGAACAAAACTGATAGAAGACAATATTAATGTTTTGTCATTTTGTTATTTTTTTCTCAGAGATCCAGAAAGTCAAGCAGATGATGACTCTCGGGAAGTATTTAAGTTGGCAAAAGATGTGTTGATTCAAGGATTGATTGATGAGAATGCTGGGCTTCAGTATGTGCTCCTCCTGGAATAATTGGGCCAGGACAAATAAATTTAGGGATATTTCTTTCTAGATTTGCACAAAGTATTTTTCAGCAGTTTTAGAATTATATTTATAGTATTAGCATTTTCTCTGCTTTCTCCATTCATAGTGTTTAATAAAAAAGTATTTGAAATCACATTAAGACTTAAAAGTCCTGACAAGTTATTTCTATAGAAAACTCTTAAAAAGTGGTAAGGATAAAATTTTCTCTGCTCATGCAGTGAGCATGAGTGTTTCAAAATAAAAAAATCTGTGGGATGATTATTATGTTTCTGATTTAACTCAGATAGTTGAGATCACACTATACATATTGAGTGAAATGTTTGAAATTTTAGAAATATGAGGAAACTATAATATTGATTATATCTAGGATTGTAAATGATTATTTTCTTCTAAAATGCCTACCCTGGTGGTTTTGTGAGCATTTTTTCAAGTGCTAAGAAAGGGCAGAAACTTTTTGTATGATTCTCTATATCAGTTTTCCATTCTGCAATTTTAAACTCATTTCAATTTCATAAGCATTCATAAATTATAGAACCTACCCTGTTTTTTGTTTGTTTTAGCGGGTGAGAGGGGCAGAGGGAAAGGGAGAGAGAATCTTAAGGAGGCTCCACACACTGTGGGCTTTGATCTCACAATTCTGAGATCAGACCTGAAATCAAAACTCAGGTACTTCATTAACTAAGCCACCCAGGCACCCTGAGCATAACCTAGTTTTTAACTAGTTTAAATTTTGAATATTTTATGGCACTAATTCTTGGAGTGAGTTGTTTTAGCAAGGCAGTGAAGGAGTATATATAATTTCTTAAGGTGTTTTCTTAGTTTCCAAATACTTATATAATCATCATTGAAAATAATAGATCATTCTCACATAATAGAAATGAGAACAAAATCATCCAGTTTTTCACCTCTTGTTAAATATGTTAAAGTTTTGGAGTATTCCCTTCTTTCAGTGCATGTTATTGTTCATAACTCAGATTAAGCTCTTTATACAATTTTGAATGTAGTTTTCCTGTATGTTAAGCTTTATAGAGACAACAAACTGCCTTCGCATGACACTGTGTGTAGGACATTCTTTCTCATTTACTAATATCTGAGAAATATGCTTATTTCCTCTCTGCTTTTCAGATTAATTATTCGAAATTTCTGGAGCCATGAAACAAGATTACCTTCAAATACTTTGGACCGATTGTTGGCACTAAATTCCTTATATTCTCCAAAGATAGAGGTGCACTTTTTAAGTTTAGCAACAGATTTTCTACTTGAAATGACTAGCCTGAGTCCAGATTATGCAAACCCTGTGTTTGAGCATCCTCTGTCAGAATGTGAATTTCAGGTGAACTACTTACCTCTATTAATAAATATTATAAGCTTTTCCTGTCTTATAGTCAACAAACATTTTCTTTTTTTTTCTATAGAGTTCTTTATTCATGAAAGACACAGAAAGAGAGGCAGAGACATTGACAGAGGGAGAAGCAGGCTCCCTACAGGGAGCCCGATGTGGGACTTGATCCCAGGACCACCCCCTGAGCTGAAGGCAGACACTCAACCACTGAGCCACCCAGGCGTCCCAGTCGACAAACATTTTCTAATAGAGTTAAACTGGTTGTCTTTCTTTTATTGTGATATAATTAACACATATTAATTTCAAGTGTACAATATAATGATTTGATATTTGTGTGTATTGTGAAATAATCACCACAGTAAGTGTAGTTTCACCATGTACGTACAAATTTTTTTTTCCTTGTGATGAAGAACTTTTAACATCTACTCTCTTAGCAACTTTAAAATATACAATACAGTATTACTAACTATAATCACCATGCTGCACATTCTGTCTCCATGACTTATTTATTTTTTAACTAGAAGTTTGTACCTTTTAATCCCCTTTCCCTATATCCCCTTCCCTCATCCTCAGCCTCTGGCAATCATCAGTCTGATCTCTATAACTAGCAGTTTAGGTTTTTTTGTTTGTTTTGTTGTTACTTTTTAGATTCCACATGTAAGTGAGATCATGTGGTATTCTCTGACATATTTCACTTAACATAATGCCCTCAAGGTCTATCCATGTTGTTGCAGATGGCAAGATTTCCTTCTTTTTATGATTCAGTAATATTCCATTAAATCACATCACATCTTCTGTATTCATTCATCCATTGATAGATATTAAGGTCGCTTCCATGTCTTGGTTATTATGAATAATCCTTCAGTGAACATCAAGGTGCATATATCTTTCCAAGTTTTGCTTTATTTGGATAAATACCCAGAAGTCTAATAGCTGGATCCTATGGTATTTCTATTTTTAGTATTTTTGAGGACCTCTGTACTGTTCGTTTTCCTTAGTGTTTGCACCAATTTATATTCCACACATCAGTGCATGAGGGTTTCTTCTTCATATCCTTGCCAATACTTGTCATTTCTTATTTTCTTGATCTTAGCCACCTGACAGATGTGAAGTGATGTCTTACTGTGATTTTGTGTTTCCCTGATGATTAGTGATATACTGGGCTTCTTATTTTACTTGAAATACTCACACATTCCTTTCCAAAACACTCACATTTGCTTCAGCCTCATCTGCTCGCACTTGTCTGCCTTTTAGCCTCCACTTAGATTTTCCTTTCTCCATAATGCCATCCTTCCTCATCAGTCCCCTCATTCATTTAGTAGATGCCAAGTGTGAACTTTCTCCTGACAGCCTTAACAACCTGTGATGACTTACATATTTACGTACATGCTCACTTTATCTCTGCCAAGCTGGGCAGTAGCACCTGACTGTTTTGCCTGCACTTGTCCTCCTGGTGATTTTCCTAGTGTCAGGCACATAATGGGACTTTGGAAGGAGCTGAGCCCTTTAGCTTGTTACAGCTGTGGTGCCATTTTTGAGTATGGCATGAAGCCATTTAATTCAGAATGTGAAGGAGGAGAAATACGGTTTTTCTGCCCTACTACTAATCAGTATTTCTAGTTGGCAAATTGTTAAAGTCTTTAAGTTTGGAAAGGTTCTTCTTCAGTTGCTTCTCACAGATACATGAAATTATAGTACATATTTGCTGATAATACCAATGAATTCTAAATGAAAATATTATGGGGGCATATTTGGGTGGCTCAGTGGTTGAGCGTCTGCCTTTGGCAGGGTCCTGGGATTGAGCTCCATGGGGCTCAGGCAGTGGGCCGGAGTGGGGGGGGTGTCCCTGCTCAGAGGGAGTCTGCTTATCTCTCTCCTCTGCCCCTTCCCCTTCTTGTGCCTGCTTCTGTCTCTGCCCTCCTGGTCTATCATGAATAAATAAATAAAATCCTTAAAATATAAATAAAATAAAATAAATGTATTTCAGTGTTGCTAAAGAAGGACGATTATTTCATTTGGAGCTCTCTTACATTCAGGAATATACCATTGATTCTGACTGGCGTTTCCGAAGTACTGTTCTCACTCCGATGTTTATTGAGACTCAGGGTTCCCAAAGTACTCTTCAGACTCAGACGCAGGAGCGATCCCTCCCAGCTCAAGGAGTGATGGCTAGGCAGATACGGGCCACCCAACAGCAGTATGACTTCACACCTACACAAACTGCAGGTAACTGTTCACCTGAACATCTGCACCAGGCAATATGATCTGTGGAAGTGGCCTCTACTGCAAGAACATTGACTATAAGAAAAGTAAAACAATAAGAGAAAAGAGTAAGAACCAACAGAAAAGCTATATCAGTCAAAGGAGAAAAGCACTGAGATTCCAAGAGTCATCATATTCTTAGAGATAAAAAGTGGAAGGGGAGGGTTGGGGAAGAGTGATGGGCTACTGGTGTTTGAAGGTTATGGAGTTTCTGTTTGAGAAGATGGAAATGATCTAGAGATGAATTGTGGCGATGGTTGTACAACTGTGTGAAAATATTTGACACCATAGTACTGTACACTTTAAATGGTTAAAATAGTTAATTTGGTGTTCTCTAAATTTTACAACAAAAAAAAGTAGAAAAGGATTATTTTTGACTGGAAAAAACAAAAGTTACAGTACATGTATGTTTTATTTTGATTTTGTCCAGAAAAATCCATTTAGTGCATCAAATTTAAAACCCCTTATCTCAAAAGCAAAGAACTAAAGAGCCAGACCAAAGTCATTTACTAGGTTTATAGTTTATTAAACTTTTCTTTCTTAAATTGTTCACCTGTTTCCTTTGATCAGAGATGTCTAAGTTGTACAGTAAAATGCCTAAATCATTTCATGTAAATGTTTCAGTGTTGTTCCTTTATATAAATTTAAATTTTTTCCCGTTCTCTTGGTTCTACAAGTAGGATTGATTTGAATGATGAATATTTTATGACACTATATTAGGCATCATGAATTTTAGTACCTTTTGGTAGATACAAAGTATCAGTCCTGTAATGATCACAGTGGCTTGAGGGAGCAGGTAGGGTGTTTCCTGCTTCACAAATGAGGACACTGAGGCTCAGACACTTGAGCTGCCTCAGGTTGCCCACTAGAAACCTGATAGAGCTTCCGCCTAGTGTCTTTCTGCTGTGACATAGTGTCTTTCTGCTGTGACATGGCTGTCTCCCTGGAGGAGCTGTCACCAGTGACTGTGGCAGGTGAGCACATGGAGGCCCCAGGTGCCACCAGGATGATGCCATCGTTTTGTCTCACACATGTGTCAGGCAGTTGGCACTGCTCCAGCTGCAGTGGCAGGGTGGTGTGGGCTTGGCAGTGTTGTACAGTCCTGAGCGTGCTGTAACATGCTCTGGTCATGTCTGTTTGCAGATGGTAGAAGCTCCTTTAATTGGCTGACTGGGAGCAGTATTGACCCTCTGGTGGATTATACAGTCTCATCATCGGATTCTTCATCTTCCTCCTTACTGTTTGCCCAGAAGAGGAATGAGAAGTCACAGAGAGCACCCTTGAAGTCAGTCGGACCTGATTTTGGGGAAAAAAAGCTGGGCCTTCCAGGGGACAAAGTAGATAACAAAGCAAAAGGTAAAAGTAAGCTTGCTGAAGTGTACTTAACATAAGTTAATGCAGACGCTTAGATAAAGAAAGTGAATTTCCGACTGCATTCACATTTCCTTATAAATAAGGCCATTAAAATTTAATTCAGGGGTTCCTGATAACTAGTCAATAGAGTATGCAACTCTTAATCTTGGGGTTGTGAGTTCAAGCCCCATGTTGGGGGTAGAGTTTACTTAAAAAAAAATAGTAATAAAATTTAATTCAATAAATCTTGTTTGGGTACTTACCATGTTGAAAGCCTAGTTTTAAGCGTTCCAGAAAAGCTGTTGAATAAATTAGAATCAGTCCATTCATTTAGTGACTTTCTGAACATCAGAGTAAGTAAGCAAATAGGTGACCTTGAGATGAGACAGAATTAGTAAATCTCAGTAAAGCTCAAGGAAGGACCTGGGGAGAAGAGGCTGTTGTTGGGAGTAGCCTTGGGGGCTCGGGGTATGGGAAGGGGGAGGGTGAACAAGGACTGAGGCAGGAAGTATGGAGCATGTTTGGGAAGATTGTTTACAGACTGGCAGTCTTGTAGCAGTCTAGCCAAATAGGGTGCTGTGGGACAGGCCCACTGGGAGCATGGAGCAGACAGCTGTGGATATGGGCCTGCAGATTTAGGAGGCTACCGAGGCTTTCCGTAGTGAACTAGGCAGACAGGTAGGGTTCTCTGGATGACCTCTCGGGGGATCCGCACAGAGCAGCATGTGCAGTGCCTGAGGAGGCCCTGGAAACCAAGGGTTCTTGTGGGGAAGAAGAGGGGGGACAAGTCACGGGGGTTGCAGGGAAGTGCTGGCAGACCTTGAAGACCCAGCACTGGCTGAAATGGTGCCACTCAGCTCTTGATGAGAATGGCAGCTCTGGGAGTGAGTGAAAACCCAGAGAATGGAAACAGAGAAAAGGTCCTAACACAGAACCTTGGGGAAATTTAAGAGCAAGGATAACCATTTGCTTCGACGTGGGTGGAGCTGGAGGGTATTATGCTGAGTGAAATAAGTCAGTTGGAAAAGGACAAACATTATATGGTGTCATTCATTTGGGGAATATAAAAAATAGTGAAAGGGAATAAAGGGGAAAGGAGAAAAAATGAGTGGGAAATATCAGAAAGGGAGACAGAACAGCAAAGACTCCTAACTCTGGGAAACAAACTACTAGGGGTGGTGGAAGGGGAGGAGTGCGGGGGGTGGGGGTGAATGGATGATGGGCACTGAGGTGGGCACTTGACGGGATGAGCACTGGGTGTTATTCTATATGTTGGCAAATTGAACACCAATAAAATAAATTTATAATAAAAAATAAGAGCTAGGATAAATTTATTTTATTTTTATTTATTATTTTTATTAAGTTTTTAATTTTACATTTCAGTATAGTTAACATACAGTGTTATATTAGTTTCAAATGTAAAATCATATAGTGATTCAACAATTCAATGCATCATTACTCGGTGGTCATCATGATAAGTGTACTCTTAATCCCCTTCACCTATTTCTCTCATCCTCCCACCTACCTCCTTCCTGATATGCTTTATTTTATTTATTTTTTAAGATTTCATTTTTAAGTAATCTCTACATCCATTGTGGGGCTCAAACTAACAATCCCAAGATCAAGAGTCACACACTCCATTGACTGAGCCATCCAGGCACCCTGATACACTTTATTTTAAACGAGTAAATGTAAATTCCTTTAAATTGTAGGAATTAAACACACACATGAAATACTTTCCTCTCTTCCTCACTTCACAATTCTGTGAATTTAAAGTAGCTGAGGTAAATCTAGCTTCCTTTTGCGCAGCACTCTGGGTTTGAAGGGGGCTAATGAGGCCCTCCTGCTTTGTCTGTTCTGCCCCCGGCTTTGTTGCTTCCCACCAGTCTTTTTTCTTTTATATCTTCTTCCTCTGCTGTTTCTCCACCAAACTGTCCTCCAGAGTGCATGGTTCTATGTCCTTCTGTAACTTTGACAATGAAAGCCCCAGGGTTAAAATGTAGTCCCAGAATGACTATTACCTTCTCATAGCTCATTAATCGTCTTGCTCACCTCAAACCCATGGCACGTGCATCTTCCCACAGAATTGTTGAACAGGTGTTTGGGGCAGCCTGCAATACAGTTAATGCATGGAGATTGCCTGTGACCCGCTCTACTCAATAGGGAGGAGGCTCAGAAGACAGAAAGAAGTGGCTGAGGTTAGCAGCATAGTCCACAACTCAAACTGTTGAGCAATTTTTCCCTGTTTTCATTGACTTGTATAGAAATTAAGGAGGATAAGAGGTTAAACCTAATTTTTAGACCATTTTCTTTAAAAGTTTTATATGTGAATTTGAGGGATCCCTGGGTGGCGCAGCGGTTTGGCGCCTGCCTTTGGCCCAGGGCACGATCCTGGAGACCCGGGATCGAGTCCCACGTCAGGCTCCCGGTGCATGGAGCCTGCTTCTCCCTCTGCCTGTGTCTCTGCCTCTCTGTCTCTCTCTCTGTGTGTGTGACTATCATAAATAAATAAAAAAAAATAAATTAAAAAAAATAAAAGTTTTATATGTGAATTTGAAAAAACTTGTGGAACTGAGTAGGTAAAATGAATACTATTAGCTATCAATTTTAATTTGAAAAATGTATTTGAATCACCCCTTGTGCCTTTGTAGATGTAAAATATTTCCCATACTGTCTGTCTTTTTTGGGGTTTATGCATTTTCTTGCCTAAACAGGAATATTTAAAAATTCATAAAATGTGGTGAATTAATCCTTACTATGATACTATTATCATTGACATTTAAAAACTTGAAATTGTAACCTAATTAAAATGTCACTTTTCAGCCATTATTTTAATTCTTTACTACAGTTTCCTTCAGTTATTTGTATCAGAGTAATACTTGCATGCAGTTTAAAGATTTTTTTATTTTTATTTTTATTTATGATAGAGAGAGAGAGAGAGAGAGAGGCAGAGACACAGGGAGAGGGAGAAGCAGGCTCCATGCACCGGGAGCCCGACGTGGGATTCGATCCTGGGTCTCCAGGATCGCGCCCTGGGCCAAAGGCAGGCGCTAAACCGCTGCGCCACCCAGGGATCCCTTGCATGCAGTTTAAAGAGTCAAATACTTTGCCAAAGCTTTTTAGAATAGCAACCCTCCATACCCATTTCCCGAATTCCAGACACAACCGCTTAGACCCTTCTGAATCTCTAAACAGTATTTATATTGCTACTCTACCTTTTTTTTTTCCCCTGTAGTATTAGTCATTCTCTTTAAGCTTAACATTATGGACATTGAGGATTTGGCTCCTTCTTGTCCCTCACTCCCACCCACCACACAGATGCTCACAGTGAATTCTTCTTGTGTCTTTATTCTCTTGATATAATTAAGTCTTCATCTTGGTTTCATCAGTAGTTTCCTCTTATTTGATTACATACAATTATGCGTGTTCAAGTCATAGTGCTTCTATGACTATTTTTCCTTTCCTATTGTATAGTAATTTTTCTTGCACATTGATAATTATTTTGGTTTAGATTTCTATATATTCATCACTTGATTCCCTCTGAATTGTACCATTGTCTTTTTCTGTGTCCCAACATATAAATGTTTCATCTTAAAAGAAATCTCTTCTATGGCTTTTGAGCCACCCTGTCTTGAGGTGTCTCTACTCAGCCATGGTCTAGAGACCTGAGGGCCTTTTCACTTCTCTTGGATTGGATTCTTCTTCTTTGGATGGCTCTTCTTTCTGGTGGAGCACTTCCTTGAGTAGCTTCCTGAGAAAAGGGGTCAGAAAGAGTAAGTTGTTTTTGATGCCTTGATGCCATACATTGCTTTTGATGGCACTCACACCTGCTAGGTAATTAGCTGTAGAATTCTGAGAACTCACTAGGGTTCTCTGTTACCCAGGGTTGGGTTGGGAAACCTGATGGCGTTCTTTTTTTGATTCTTTATAAGAGTTGGATTTTTTTCTCTGCAGAAGATCTTAGGATCCTTTCTTTTAAATCAATTTTAGGAAATTTCACTAAAGTGTCATCTGGCGTGTGCAGGTCTGTTGTAGTGCATTTTTCTGGGCGGTAGGAGGGCCCTTTTAGACTGCTAACTTATTTTCCAGTTCTAGAATATTTTTTTGGGTGATTTTATTGATGATTTCCTCATCTCATTTTCTTTTTGGAAGCCTGTTGCTTAGATATCGGACCTTATCAGATCTTGTAATTTTCTTGTCTTCTTTTCCCTTTTTGCTTTGTATTCTGGGAAATCACTTCAACCGATTTTCTAACCCTGGCTTTTAAGTTATATCATATTTTTGGTTTCCATGAGCTTTTTATGTTCTCTGAATACCCTTCCATCCTTGATCCACTGTTGCAATTTCTACTTTTCTATGATAATGTTTGAATTTTTTTTTTTTTTTGGATGGTCTGCTTTCATCGGTTGCTCTTTCCCTTTTGTTTATTTTTGTTTCTATTTTTTATATTTGAAGCTTTTCTCAAAATGTCTGGTGGCTTGTCTTTTGGCTTATGGGGCACTAAAAAGACATTTGGAATAGCTGCACATTGGAGTGCAGAGGTCCAACTAGACCAGGACATTGAAACTCCTGATGTGTTGCTCTCTTTGCCTGTGCTTTTGTGCTGGTGGATTACCCAGAGGCAAAATATCCAGTCTCTTGTCAGCAGGCTATAGGCCAGGGTGCCAGCACTCCAGAGGCCAAGCTGGAGCAGGCAGATGCACTTTCCAGAAGCCCATGTGGTTGCTGGGTAGAATTGCTGTGTCTGCAGCCATGCTGGCTCTGTGCACCCGCAGGGCCACAGGGCCCTGCAAGCTCCACACCTGCAGCACGAGGAAACGTGCTTTCTAACCACACCTCCTGCTGTAGCCTCATCTTCCTCCTTGCCCCTAGAGGTGCTGGGTGCTGCCAGGTTTTGAGCCTTCCAGGTCTTCTGCACTGTTATTGCTTTGTCCCTGTTCTGTGCATGGTAGCACTGGGATTGGACTGAGTTCTCTCCAAAACTGGTTAGTTGTCTCTTGTGCGATTCTCTGTAGACTTATGTCATTAAAACAAAGCAAAACAACTAGATGAAAATGAAAAAATGGAGATAAGCGAATAATTCTATTTTGAGAGGATTCTAGAAAGAAGGCAAAGTCAACTGCAAATGTCAAATTGGCCATCTGTAACAAACCTTTATATTCTTTAGGTATAGACAATCGGACAGAAATATTAAGATTACGCAGACGATTTATAAAGGACCAAGAAAAGCTCAGTTTGATTTATGCCAGAAAAGGTATTGCTGAACAAAAACGAGAGAAGGTTTGTATCTGTTTTGAGAATTTGATTGGTCAGAAATATTTATTTTATATCAAAAGATATATACTAAGGAATAAGTTTGTCAGATATTTCTTCCCTAACAAAATTATGGAAGTAGCACTATATGCATTAAAGTTACTTATGAACCAAGGATTTTTCCCCTGACTAATGTAGATATAAAGGACAGTCGTGACTCACTAATGAGGTCATGGGGATCTTGGAATGGGGCCTGTGTGGGTAGTCCCTTGAATCTGCAGTATGTTGAGTTCACAGGCACTGCCAGGACCTCATCCTTGCCCCTTATCTCAGACTCTCACTGAAGCTTGACTTTGTTGTTTGTGTACAGACTGGCTTTCTCCATGTGGTGAGACACGGCCTCAAGTTGTTCCTGAATGATCTTACAACATTAGCCGCTGGGAGGGATTGGCCAGAACCTTGACCTAACTTGGGTCTGAGGCCACTGTGGGACCATATAACAACCAGCCACTCTCCTGAGGGTGCCTGGATGAAGAGGGAATGGTGAGCCCAGAGAAAGGGGTGAGCAGGCCAGGCAGATAGATGGTCCAGGGTTATCTGCTGAAAGCAGTGACCTAGTGTGGCATGAATTAAACATTTCTCAAAATGTGGAATTAATGAAAGAATTTGTTTATCCATAGCTTCAGTATTACTTACAAATCAGTAATTACCACAGAATTTTCAAGAAAGATGAGATTATGAGTTAAAACACCTGAGTTTGTTCTAATTCAGTTTAAATCCTCACTTAAGGGATCCCTGGGTGGCGCAGCGGTTTGGCGCCTGCCTTTGGCTCAGGGCGCGATCCTGGAGACCCGGGATCGAATCCCATATCGGGCTCCTGGTGCATGGAGCCTGCTTCTCCCTCTGCCTATGTCTCTGCCTCTCTCTCTCTCTCTGTGTGACTATCATAAATAAATAAATTAAAAAAAAATTAAAAAAAAAATCCTCACTTAATTAACTTCCACATCTGAATATGAAGTAGTCGAATGGTTCCACTGTATCTTCTGTGGAAAGAAAATGTACTTTTCATCTTTCTCTTATCTCTGTAAGTATAGCTGTTCTCTTAAAAAGGAGGGTCCCAAATCAGTGCCCACAGTCATCCCACACCCCTTCTTACTGGCCCCACCACACGTGGAGGGCGTTCTGCTTTGTGCACTCGAAGAGGTAGCCATGAGCTACTAATTAAGCCTGAAATCTAACTAGGTCTGCCTGAAGGATATAACAAGCAGAATATGAACAGAAGGAAGAGATAAAATCAGGATTGTTGGATAGAAATCACAGGGAGATATTTTGGTCTGATATAAAGAGAGTCCTTTTAATAATTAGTAAATGTGGGATGGTCTGCTGTATGTATGAGGCCAAGCATTTGCTCTGACACAGATGTTCTCATCTGAAGTGGCTGACCTCACAGTAAGAATGGCATGGAGGTAATCAGGCACTGGAAGGCCATGTGCTTTATTTGTTGGGAGCACTGTGCTCCATGTCAGGCACTACTCTCAGTGCTAATGGTATAGAAGTAAATATAACATAAGCACTCTTGGAGCTACAACGCAGTGTGTACAACAGACAAAAAAAGAGAATGAGTTAAGATTATAATGTGATTGTTGGAAATTAACCTAGTGATGAGCATGTGTGGGGAAGACTGTTACAGAGGAAGTGAGAAAGCAAGCCTCTTTGAAGATGATTTCTGAGATAGGAACCAAATAATGAGAGAGAAACTGAAAAGACATTCTAGGCAGAGGTGAAGAGATACAACAGCCCTGTGTGGTGGGGAGTCAGGAGTGAGCCCAGCCTGGCCTGAACAGGTGAGCAGGGTCGGGAGGAACCAGGTGTTGGGAGCTGTGATGATATCACCCAGCTTTTTTATCACCCAAGGTTTTTCTAAGAGGAATTAAGGGGGGAAAGAACCCTCTGAGATATGGCTTTAAATGTTTTAATTCAGGTTCTCTGAATTTACCAATATTCACATTATGTTGTGATGAACATTTAAATAATGTTTTTACTGCTCATTTGCTAGTAATTTTTATTTTGGATTTATTGTCTGTCATAGACTGGTAAAGCATAGTGACCAAACCAATTTGTATAAAAATTGTCATCAAGGGCATCCCTGGGTGGCTCAGGGGTTTCATGCCTGCCTTTGGCCCAGGGCTCGATCCTGGAGACCCGGGATCGAATCCCACGTCAGGCTCCCGGTGCATGGAGCCTGCTTCTCCCTCTGCCTGTGTCTCTGCCTCTCTCTCTCTCTCTCTATCATAAATTAAAAAAAATAAATCTTTAAAAAAAATTGTCATCAGGTTCACCTTTATATTAAGGATAGGTACTGATGGATCGTGCATGCACTACAGATTTGCACTACAGATTTTTTCAATAAAAATTCTAATCTTCCTTCTTTGGTTCTAATGATTATAGGAGATCAAGAGTGAGTTAAAAATGAAGCACGATGCCCAAGTCATTTTGTACAGAAGTTACCGCCAAGGAGACCTTCCTGACATTCAGATTAAATACAGTAGCCTGATCACCCCCTTGCAAGCTGTGGCCCAGGTTGGTCCTTGAATGCTTCATTTTTCTATTGACAGATGAAAACTGTTTTGCAGTTCCAGGGGGCTACTATGTACAAGGAAAAGTGGTTGATGCTACACTATATCATAAACGAAGTGTTGATTTGTCTTTAACAGTGGACTTCGTTAAAAGACATTGGTCCCAGTCTTGGCCCTGATCTTAACTTTCCCAGGTGTGACTCATGTAGAGTCATCTAGAAGGTAGTCCTGCAGTTGGGTCCTTGTCAAGACACTTAATGCTCTGAGTCACAGTGTCTTCTATAAAACCAGGCAGTGAAATCTATTTTTCCTACCAATAATGTTGGTCAGTGAAATAATGTGTAATTTTAAATTTAAAAGTGCTAAGCCACTTAAATCATTTCTTATACAAGATCCTTTTGGTGGATGGGGGTGGATCAAGAGAATATCATTTTATGGCTGGAATTCCTTAATTCCACCCACAAGAAGGAATTCTTCCTTCTTTGTTAATTTTCTTAATAGCAGAGGATTGGAAATATTTTTCTAAGTTGTTAGGGTTGAGAGTGAATGAAGTTTCCTAGCTGAATTCTCTGACAAAAACAAGATATTTACTCCCTAAAAGCCTAATTAAGATTTCTTTGACTTTTATTGAAATAACTTTAAAAATTGGAGAGTATAAAAAAAAATTGGAGAGTATTTATATATATATATATACGTATGTATATATATATATATATCATTATGCTAGGTGCTGAAATATAATGCCATATTTTATTCTACATAAATTTTCAGAACTAATGTTGCTTATAAGTTATATCTCCATATTCTTTTACCTTTTTTTTTAAGTGTTTTATTTAAATAAATATAGATTGATAGGAATTTGCAAAAGTAGTACATAGTCCCATATACCCTTTACCTAGCTTCCCCCACTGGTGGTATCTTACATAACCATAGTACATTATTTTTATCTAGAAATTGACATTGGAACAAAAGTGTTAAGTGGACTGCAGTCTTATCATTTTTTCCCTGCATTTGTGTGTGTATGTGTGTGTGTGAGAGAGAGAGAGAGAGCGAGAGATTCTGTGCAATTGTAGCATACATATTGATTCATGTAACTACTATCACAGAAGAGCCCTTGGTTGTTATGGACTGCTTTCACATTCCTCTCATTAGCTTCTCCCAATAATTTTGTGCCATAAAGGCAGTTGTTAGGTACATTTACAGATGAAGAATTGAAAGTTAGCAAAGAATGGCAAATATAGTCAAAACTGTATATCAAAATAAAAGAAAAAATAAAGCTACAAATTTAATATAAAAAAACCCACAACTGTATATTTTGATGGGTATGGAACTAAGACAACACCCCTCTGTTTTGACATCTGGCCCAGTGTTCTTGTTCATCCCCACTATTTCCCAGTTTCTCTAATGCCTTGCATGTATGTATTTACTCACTGCCTCAGAAATGATGCTGCCACCTGCTCACCTGTGCCCAGATCAGTTCATCTCATTGGTGCTTGGAAAATATTAAGATGGTGAATATTGTTTTGAAAAAACATGACTACATTTTTTCTCTTCTTTGAAGAGGAATGTGTTTCCTTATGTTTAAGTTCTAATACTTTATTCAATAAATATTATATATGGAGCAACTCCTTCTGGATGCCAGGGACTGTTCTAAGCGCTAAAGGGCAACTGTGGCCTCCTCTGTTATCCTGGGTTCCCCTTCTTCACTATGAGCCTTGCACATGAGAGTGGAAGAGGAGCCTATAAAGGAGCCGTTACAGCACGTGTCCAGCGGCAGCATTCTTTTGCTCTGAAAACTTCTTTATCTTAATCACCACTGCATTATCATGACAGAAGGAGCTTTTGAAGCTCCCTGGGAAATGAAGGAATTTGTGCATAAGACCCAAGAATTGGGGTTGTAGACATGGGAACCTGTGTGCCACAAGTTAAATGAAAAAAGAGTTAGCAGACACTGTATAAGAGAGTGTGCATGTCAGTAGAAGATCCATCTGTGGCAGTGACTGTCTTCATGCAGTTTATGAGTGATACTTTCTTTTTTCCTAATCTATATTTTCTGAAAATTTTTATAGCAACCATATAACTCTATATGAGACAAATACATTACTTAAATAACAAAGAATAAATCAAATTGTACTTTTTATCCAGACACAAGTTTTTATCAAGCAAAATAATTCTTAAGTTTTTTAAATTCATGTGTTCGTGCCTTTTAAAAAATATAGGCACTGCATGCTAGGGACTGTTCTTAGTACTGGTGTCACAGGCACAGATGAAGGATAATGTTCCTGTGGTCATGGAGCATGAGGATAGAAGCCAGAGGAGATCAGGTGGCATTCTGTTAGAGCTAAATATACCAAACATGAAAACTACTGATGGTTTTAACAGTTTAAATGGTCATAATGATGGGACTATGAAATTTAAATTGGCATTTTATTTAAGCTTATCAGTTAGTTTTTTAACCTTTATGATGATACTAATGTGAAGATAGTACCTAAAAATTTCATTTACTCTGTCTTAAAGGTCTTATCGATTACTGCAGTGGTCACTTTCTATGCATTATCTTGGCTGAGCCTCACCACAACCCTATTATCCCCACTTTAGAGATGAGGAATCTGAAGGTCCAGACTTACCCATGAGTTAAGCTATTGGCTACATATGTGATTAAGCCAGCTTACATATTTCTGCATCCAAAATCCATGGTATCACAGGCATATTTGGTTAAATTTCAAGTAGTAGCCATGTCAATTCCTGTTAAAATTTTCTAAACAAAATTGAGATGTAAATTACTTATGTTGGCAGCACTTTGTGTTTTCAAATAAAGCTGTGATAGTATTAGTGAATTATAGCATTTTTACCTCAGATCCTAATTTGTCTTTGAATATTTTACAGAGAGACCCAATAATTGCAAAACAGCTGTTTGGCAGCTTGTTTTCTGGAATTATAAAGGAGATGGATAAATACAAGACCATGTCTGAAAAAAACAACATTACTCAAAAGTTGCTCCAGGATTTCAGTCATTTTCTTAACTCCACTTTCTCTTTCTTTCCACCTTTTGTCTCCTGTATTCAGGTAAGAATCTATACGCACACTTCATAAATATGCACTATCTACTTTGCCATCATATGTGTATGTCATAAAAACTTCATTTGTTTCACAAGCTGAAGCACAAGGTATTTAATAGAGTAGATGTGCTCTGTGTGGTTACCTCTTCCCAGATGGGTTGATTTTATTTATTTATTTATTTATTTATTTATTTATTTATTTATTTATATCACATGGGGGTGTCTGACTCTTGGTTTCGGCTCAGGTCATGATCTCAGGGTCATAAGAACGAGTCCCACTACAGGCTCCATGCTCAATGGGGGGTCTGCTTAAGAATTCTCTCAGCCCATGCCCCTCCCCACCCCCCTGACTCAAACCCACTCTCTCACTCTTTAAATAAATGGATGAATCTTCAAGGGGAAAAAAAACACACCTCCAAAACCCCAAACCTATATATGACTGAATAATTAGAAACCAACCTTGGTATAAAAGTGTTCAGATTTTTAATAAGCCATAAGCTAGTCCCTTCAGTGTTTTGGCTAAACTCTGAATATTAGTTGTTTTCCTTACATACTGCTTCACCAGCTTATTTCCTGCCTCCTGGTTGCCTTTAACAGATCGCATGTTATCAATGTTGATTGAGCATATTTCTGACTTTGTTCTAAGTGACAGGGACAATGAGTGATGCAAGAGGAACAAATCTCTGCCCTTCCGGAATTACAGTGGGTGACCATTCTGACCGGTGTATGGTGGTATCTCATTGTGGTTTTGATTTGTATTTCCCAGATGCCAAGTGATGTTGAGCATCTTTTCATGTGTCTGTTGGCCATGTTTAAGTCTTCCTTGGAGAAATGTCTGTTCATGTTTTCTGCCCATTTCTTGACTGGATTTTTTGTTTTTTGGATATGGAGTTCGATAAGTTCTTTATAGATTTTGGATACTAACCCTATATCTGATGATATAATCACAAATGTCTTATCTCATTCTGTAGGTTGCCTGTTATTTTTGTCAACTGTATCCTCTGCTGTGCAGAAGCTTTTAATCTTGATGACGCTTTTTATCTTTATCTAGTTCATTTTTGCTTTTGGTTCCCTTACCTTTGGAGATGTGTCTAGTGAGATGTTGCTACAGCCAAGGTCAAAGAGGTTGCTAACTGTGTTCTCTAGGATTTTGATGGATTCCTGTCCCACATTTAGGTCTTTCAGTCATTTTGAGTTTATTATTGTTTATTATTGTGTCTGGTGTAAGAAAGTGGGAGTTAAGGGTCCATTTTTGAGTTCTCTTTTGTGTTCCATTGATCTGTGTATCTGTTTCTGTGCTAGTACCAGGCTGTCTCGAGGATCACAGCTTTGTAGTACAACTCGAAGTCAGTCATTGTGATGCTTTCGCCTTTGCTTTTCTTTTTCAACATTCCTTTGGCTGTTTGGGGTCGTTGCTGGTTCCATACAAATTTTCAGATTCTAAATGTTGAGGTACTTTGATAGGAGTTGCATTGAATATGGAGATTGCTTTGGGAAGTATAGACATTTTTAACAATATTTATTCTTCCAGTCCATGAGCATGGAATGTTTTCCATTTCTTTGTGTCTTCCTCAAATTGTTTCTTAAGTGTTCTATAGTTTTCAGAGTACAGATCCTTTACCTTCTTGGTTAGGTTTATTCCTAGGTATCTTATGGTTTTTGATGCAATTGTAAATGCGATTGATTCCTTAATTTATCTTTCTTCAGTTTCATTGTTAGTGTATAGAAATGCCACTGATTTCTATTATTTGATTGCATTATTTTTATATCCTGTGACTTTGCTGAATTCCTGAATGAGATCTAGCAATTTTGGGGTGGAGTCTTTTGGGTTTTCTACAGAGGGTATCATGTCATCTACGAAGAGTGAGAGTGTGACTTTCTTTGCCGGTTTAGATGCCTTTTATTTCTTTTTGTTGTCTGATTGCTGAGGCTAGGACTTCCAGTAAAGTAGAAAAACTGTGGTGAAAGTGGACATTGCTATTATGTTCCTAACCTTAGGGGAAAAGCTCTCCGTTTTTCCCTATTGAAGATGTTAATTTGCTGTGGGTTTTTTGTATATGACTTTTTTTTTTAAGATTATTTATTTATTTATTCATGATAGACACAGAGATTGAGAGAGAGGCAGAGACACAGGAAGAGGGAGAAGCGGGCTCCATGCCGGGAGCCCGATGCGGGACTCGATCCCGGGACTCCAGGATCGCGCCCCGGGCCAAAGGCAGGCGCCAAACCGTTGAGCCAGGGATCCCCTGTATATAACTTTTATGATATGGAGGTATATACCCTCTATCCCTACATGGCAGAGAGTTTTAGTCAAGAAAGGATGCTGTGTTTTGTCAAATGCTTTTTCTGCATCTACTGAAAGGATTATATGGTTATTGTCCTTTCCTTTATTAATGTGGCATATCCCCTTCATTGATTTGTGGATGTTGAACCACCCTTGCAGCCCAGGAATATATCCCACTTGGTCCTGGTGAATAACCCTTTTAATGTACTGTAGAATCCTACTGGCTAGTATTTCAGTGAGAATTTTTGCATTCATGTTCATCAGGGATATTGGTTTGTAATTCTTTTTAGTGGGATCTTTGTCTGGTTTTGGAATCAAGGTAGTACTGACCTCATAGAGTTTAGAAGTGTTCCTTCCATTTCTGTTTTTTTGAACAGCTCAGAAGAATAAGTATTATTTCTTCTTTAAATGTTTGTTAGAATCCTGCTGGGAGGCCATCTGGCCCTGGACTCTTGCTGTTGGGAGATTTTTGATTACCAGTTCTATTTCTTGGCTTGCTGTGGATCCGGTTAGGTTTTCTATTCCTTCCTGTTTCAGTTTTGGTGATTTATATGTTTCTGTATAGAAGAAATGCATTCTTTTCTTCCAGATTGCCTAATTTGTTGGCATATCATTCCTCATAATACGCTCTTATAATTAATTGTATTTCTTCAGTGTTGGTCATGATCTCTTTTGTTCATGATTTTATTGATTTGGGTCCTTTCTCTCTTCTTTTTGACAAGGCTGACTAGGGGTTTTTTGATCTTCTTAATTCTTTCAAAGAACCAGGTCCTAGTATCTTTGTTCTGTGTGTGTGTGTGTGTGTGTGTGTGTGTGTGTGTTATTTCTATATTACTGATTTCTGCTCATATTTTATTATTTTTCTTCTCCTTTAGGTGTAAGGTTAGGTTGTGTGTATCTTGAGGAAGGCTTGTATTGTTATATACTGAAACTCTTAGGACCGCCTTTGCTGCATCTCAAAGCTTCTAAACTGTTGTGTTTTCATTTTCATTTGTTTCCATGTATTTTTAAAATTCTTCTTCAATTTCCTGGTTGATCCATTCACTCTTTAGTAGGATGCTTGCTAATCTCCATGTATTTGTGTCCTTTCCAAACTTTTTTCCTGTGATTGCATTCAAGTTTTACGGCATTGTGGTCTCAAAACATACATGGTATAATCTCAGTCTTTTTGTACTGGTTGAGACCTGATTTTTGACCCACTTTGTGTGATGTATTCTGGAGAACATTCCATGTGGACATGAGAAGAATGTGTATTCAGTTGCTGTAGGATGGAATGATCTGAATATATCTATGAAGTCCATCTGGTCCAGTGTGTCTTTTCAAAGCCTGTTTCCTGTGGATCTTCTGCTTAGATGATCTGTCCATTGCTGTGAGTGGGTCATTAAAGTCCCTTACTATTATTCTGTTATTAACAATTAGATGCTTTAATTCTGTTATTGATTGGATTCTATAATTGGCTGCTCCCAAGTTAGGGCATAAATATTTATAGTTGTTAGATCTTCTTGTTAGGGATAGACCCTTTTATTATGAGATAGTGTCCTTGTTTATCTCTTATTACAATCTTTGATTTAAAATCTAGTTTATCTGATAGAAGGATGGCTACTACTCCAGCTTTCTTTTGATGTCCATTAGGATGATAAATGGTTCTCCTTCACTTCACATCTCACTTTCAGTCTGGTGGTGTCTTTGGGGTTAAAATGAGTCTCAGCATATCAATGAGTCTTGTTTTTTTAAAATCCAATCTGATACCCTGTGTTTATTTTTTAAATTTATTTTTTATTTTTTAAAAACATTTTAAAAGATTTTATTCATTTATTCATGAGAGATACAGAGAGAGAGAGGCAGAGACATAGGCAGAAGGAGAAGCAGCCTTCCTGTAGGGAGCCCGATGTGAGATTCCATCCCAGAACCCCGGGATCACACCCTGGTATCACACCCTGAGCAGAAGGCAGATGCTCAACCATTCAGCCACCCATCTGTTTAATTGGAGCCTTTAGCCCATTTTCATTGAGAGTAATTCTTAAAAGAAATGAATTTAGTGCCATTGTATCACCTGTAAAGTCACCGTTCCTATAGATTATCTCTGTGTTTTTCTGATTTTTGTTACTTTCTTCTCTTAGCTCAAAGAATCCCCTTCAGGGCTGGTTTAGTGTTCACAAATTCCTTTAGTTTTTGTTTGTTCTGGAAACTCTTTATCTCTACTTCTGTTCTGAATGACAGCCTTTCTAGACACAGTATCCTGGGCTTTACTTTTTCCAATTTAGCACCTTGAATATATCATGCTGGTCCTTTCTGGCCTGGCAGATCTCTGTGGAGAGGTCTGCTGCTGGCCTTATGTGTCTACCCTTGTAGGTTAAGGACCTTTTGTCCCGAGCTGCCCTCAGGATTTTCTCTATCTCTGTGAAATTTATAAGCTTTATTATTATATGTCAAAGTGTTGACCTATTTTTTATTCATTTTGAGGTGGGTTCTCTGACCCTCCTGGAGTTGCGTCCCTGTTTCCTTCCCCAGATTAGGGAAGGTCTGATCTATAATTTGTTCAAATAAACCTTCTGCCCTCCTCTCTTCTGGGAACTCTTCTGGGACCTCTGTTATTTGAATATTATTTTGCTTTATGGTATTGCTGATTTTTCAGTCTCCCCTAGTGATACAGTAGTTGTTTTTCTTTTTCTCAGCTTCCTTATTCCCCATTATTTTGTCTCCTATATCACAGACTCTTTCCT